GCCATCTACGAGTGACGGAGGCCACCAGACTTTTTGTGTGCTTGCCGCCGCACACCAACTCAACTCTCCTACGTCACGCCGCGGTGGTGGCGCGCCGGACGCACTTCCGGTCTGGGGCGGTGGGCAGAAGTCGCCGTGCTAGACATGCATTCCTGTGTTCCTTTGGAAGAAACGAGACAAAAAACCTGCCTTCTCGTCAAAATGCTGCGACGGGGGCTGTACCAAGAGAGTCTGGGAAGGTTTGAAGATCAGTTTTCATGTGTTTTTGCCCCCTCCGTTCGTCCGAGAACGTGGATTGTAGCCGTGAAAAGGGCAAACCTGACGCTGTCGAACTACGATTGCGTGTGCGGGCCACAATTTGTAGTCGCCAGATGTATTTGCTTTGTTCCAACATGACCGAGAGAAAACCCCCAAGTTGTCCGGACCACCCACGGGTTCAGTGCGTCTTCCAATTCACACGGCCGCCTGATCGTTCGAACTTTCGTCTGCTCTTTCAAAGTTGTCTGCTTTTTGTCGTCTGCTCGTTCAAACAAAAGCGGCCCGTAGACCAAACTTTGACCCGGTGATTGCAATAGGGTTGTAACGTTGAGTAGATACAAGATGTTAATTATAGGTACCGGTGGCCATCACCTACTTGTTACGCTTTGTCTGTTCCCGCTTCCGATTTTCAGTATCGACGTCGATCATCGCCGCTACCTTTTACACTTTTGCAGCACGAGCGACGTCGCGATCGAAAATAGCTACAAGAATCTCATCATGGTTTTGGCGTCCATTCTGCAGCGTTCATGCGAATGAATCGCCGCACGTCAAATTATTTACGGAAAGTTTAGCGGCGTAACGAGCCTTGATAATTTCGCTCAGGCGATTGAAGTGGTAAGACATTGCGATGAGGACGTAGAATCGACAACTCCAACGCGAAAAAGAGTATGCAGACTCACACAGACGCCGACAACGTGACATTCGAATGGTTTGTTGACGCGGGACGCGGTGCTTCTTGCCCGTACTCCATTGCGCGTGCGGTCGAACTGTCGTCTGCTCTTTCAAACTTGGCTGCTTTTTGTCGTCAGTTCGTTCAAACGACAGCGGCTCGCAAACCAAACGTTGACCCGGTAATTGCAATAAGAACTAAGTGCAGGCCTCAAAACACTTTTGAAGGTTGGTTGGGGTAAGTCGGCTAAGTGTAAACAGATACAAGAAGTTGTTGATCATTGTTACCAGTGGCCATCACCGACTTGTAATGCCCGATTCTACTTGAGGTTTTCAGTATCGATGTCCACCATCTCAGCTACGGTCCACGCTTTTGCAGTCCGAGCGACGTCGCGACTGAAATTAGCGAGCAGAATCTCGACGTGGGAGTCAGGCCTTAGCGCCCATTCTGCGGCGTCCACGTGAAATGAATCACCGCACGTCACATTGTTCACGCAAAGTTTTGCCTCGATAGTTTTGCTGAAGCCGCTCAAGTTGTCAGACATTGTTAGGAGGACGTAGAATCAACAATTCCAACGCGAAAAAGAGCACGGGGACTCCCACCGACGCCGACAACAACCCAATTCAATGGTTTGTTTATGGGCGACGGCGGGCTTCTTGCCCACCAACCACGGCGCATGCGCGGCGCCGGTGACGTCCGCTAGGGGCGCTCCGGTTTGTTTGTAAACATGAGTTGGTGTTTGTGTCGACAGGCGTTTGATACGGACACGATCCTGGGGCCAGGCACGTAGCCAGGATTTTGTTTCGAAGGGGGGGGGGGGGGGGGGGGGGGGGGGAGGGGAGGGGCGCCCATGACAAAATGCGGTATGAGGGGGAGAGGAGGCCCCAGCTAAATGGAAAATTTCGGGGAGGGGGGGGGGGGGGGAAAGCCGGGCCCCATGCCCCCTCCCTGGCTACGTGCCTGGTTGTACTGCAGCGAAGGCTAGAAGCGCGAGCTTATAGCGTTGGCAGCTGCCCTTGGTGCACGAGAGCTTGTGCCGTCGAGATATGCCCTAAAGTCACTGGATCCTGGGAAAGTAACGCCAAGCTCCCCATGTGGTCGCCATCTTGGTCCGTGAAATGAGCAATTTCTCCTTGACCCCTCCGTTCCTGGTGAGCCGATCTAGATTCGCTGGTGACGGGTAGCTTTATGTAGTGGTTTTTGTGTACCGAGATTTTGCTAACCATACACCGGCGAAACAAGCGCACACCTTCGTACCACCACCATATGCTCTGTCGGTGCTTGGAGGCAATGAACAACAAGTTTACTGTTTTAAAATACGCAAGAAGAGTTATACAATTGTAAGAGATCCATGGAGATGGGCATGAATAATAAGTTGATTGCATACGGAGTGCCGAAGACTCTTATATTGGCGAGGAACGCCTCCAGTACGATGATGCTTCATGGTAATCTTGGCGCGACTGGTTTAGAACGACCCTCTGGAAGCTTCGAAGATTTAAATGGACCAAGATGGCGATTTCTATGGCAACGTAGACCGATTAGCCAATCGCCTTGGAAGGTTTGGGTCGTCTTTATGTTAGTATCCGTTTGTGTCCGGCTAGCAGGTAGGGAAGGCAATGGCGCTACTTTCCCAGGATCCAGTGACTTTAATATGCCCTAGACACGGTGGAAGAAATACATTTAGGTGGTGACTCTGGCCGCTCTCCCCACGGTGAGCGAGCGACCAGATCGTGTTCGGAACTAGGAGTATACTCTGTTTCACCTTATGATATGTACCGCAGGAAAGGCTACAAGCGCGAGCTCTTTACTCTCGGGCACATCCCGGAGGCACAAGCTCTCGTGACTTAAGAGCAGCTGCCAACGCTATGAGCTCGCGCTTCTAGCCTTCGCTGCGGTACAACGTAGGGTGAAACGAAGTGTAGTTGTTCCGTGCCGCCGTGGAGGGCGCTCAGGTGTGAGCACCGTGGTCATGAGGTCTCTCTTCGGCGGCCACGGAGTCAGGGGCGTAGCTTGCTCGCCTTTTTCGCGGTGTGGTGGTGGTGTGCGGTCAGTGGCTGACCTCATGTTTTGCTTTGGTGCTGTGTCAATCACCAGTGCCACCATCATGCACGAAGATGAGCATTAACCCCGAAGAAGAAGTTATGCTATAAGGATGGGAAAGACGCGCTTCGTTCCCCACTGCAATTCGGGGTACCGAAACTGCGCAGAGCGAGTGTCCTTGTTTAAAGCTCCATCGAATGACGCTCGCCTGGAGCAGCGGCGTCGTAAAACCCCGAGGGCCGATCGCAAGTTACTACCTATAGTCTCCTCATCTCCTTGACCAAGTGAAGACCGAGCTTGACAGTCTAATTTCTGTCGAAGACTGGGAACGCGAAGATGTCTGGACAGAAAAGGCTTATGAAACCAAGGCTGTGGACTGCATGCTATTTTATGTAACTGGGTTTTTGAGCGAGAAAAAAAAAAAAGCTACACGCTGCCCTGCATGCCGATCCGCTTTCAGCATCGACAAGAACACTTCTACTGAAGCAGCACTGACAAACGTGAAGAACAGAGGAGGCCTTACACACCCCAACAAGAGCCTTTTCCAGCTACTGAAGAAAGCGGAACAGTTCTTCGTGCAAAATAAAAGCCACAACACTGTCTACTGGGACACAATCGACAGTGTTCTTGACACATGCACAATAACGTTTCCATGCGCTAAACACAAAGAAGAAACAATCGCCCAGTTGCTCCAGTACTACTTCAGCATGCGAATGCGACAACACTGTAAGCATATTACGATGAGTAGGAACAAACAAGTTTAAGATATAAGAAATCAGCAAAGCAGCGCTCGTCTTAGTTTAAGGGCATGGGCGAGGAACACAGGATGTATGAGATGGCGCTCTTTGGTAGTATGCAGTGAATTCAGCTTTTATGTACATTTTAAAGCAAAAATATTTGTCAGGTATTTTTTTACCTGTAAGACGGGGTGACACCATATTGTGCGAGTATAGATGAAAAGTGATCTATGTCTTATAACCGCTACAATTGTTTGACTTTCAGTCACTGTGTCATCATGTCAGTCAGTACGTCATCATACTGTGTCATCGTTTCAGTCACTATGCCATCATAAATAGGATTTTTTTCTGCTCACAAGGTTTGTATGTTCCACAGTACAAATTGACATTGTATGTATAAACCATTTGTAATGCCAAAAACTTTATGTGCATTTAAAGAATTATTTAGGCCCCACTATGTAACATTATTAGAATTTATTTGTTTCAATAGGGCAGGAGCAGGGTGGAAAAAATCACCCGACCTCATATAAAGCCACGCAATGTGTGTAAACAATTTATGGAACTGTTACCAAACATGTTGTTTGACAAAACATTCGAGCATGACCCAGGTGTTTACCCTAAATTACTCTAAATTATTGAAGGCCCAGTAGATTATGGCGGGAAGTTTTATATTTATACGAGTATTTTTGTCACGTTGAGTCATCATCGAAATGTTCTCGCTTGGAAAAAAAAAACAAAAAAAAACAGGAACCGCACGGGGGAAAAGGCAATCAGTGCCAGTGCGCCAACATAAATTCATCATTTCACAACACAGTACACACGGACCGAGTAAAGAATGCATAATTGCCTTCACAAGCCCCTCTATACGTGGGCGCCATCTATCCCCGTGCGAGTGAAGCGCGCTTGGTGCGCCGAACATAATGTGGTCGCCGCGCGAGACAGAGAGTCATCACCTAAATATATTTATTCCACCGTGGCCCTGGAGCAAGGAGCTCGCGCTCGTTTTAGCAAACCGTTTTTGCATATCCGATACGGTACGATGAGCCCGCCGGTACGCACTGCGCAAATGGCATTTTGTTTTGAAGGGCCCATCGTACCCTATCGGATGTGCAAAAAAAAAAAAAACAGTTCCTCTCCAACAACTCGCTAACACCTTGGATACCTCGTAAACACAAGCTCAATCTGCTCACGCACACTTGCGCTTTCGGTTTCGGGTACACCGTAAACGAAACTGGTTAAAAAAATTGCTGTCTCTGCCACGCTGTGGCATCCAGACTTTTTAGCCATTTAGCCGACACAATCCATTCATTTAAGATGGCGGCTGGCCCGATCGCCGAGCGCAATCAAGGTGTGTAATGTTTCCAACAGTTTTGCCTGATAGTGGACTCGTTTTCCTTCAGAATGCGATGTTTTTAGGAATAATAACTGTTCACGCACGTATTTGCGACCTTACAGGCACGACGAGTTCATTTGCGCAGAGAAAAGTTCGCTTTGGGCGGAACGTTTGTGTGACGCCGGTAGCCAAGGCATGAGGAGATCATGGTCTTCACGGAAATGCCGGCGCTAAAATGTCCAAGTTGAATGTGATCGAGGAACAGTTAATGTCTTTGTGAGACGTTAGCGACGAAACTGTACGCAGAATTTCCACGGGACGTTCTCTCTGCTTTCCATGTGATGGGGAGAGGGTCGCTGAAGTTGCTGAAGCACTGCCGAAACGCCGTTGATTGTTTTGGTGGCACTTTTCAGATGCCACGATATACGTCGGCGGCTTGGACGAAAAGGTGTCCGACACCATCCTCTGGGAGCTCTTCGTACAAGCGGGCCCTGTCGGTGAGTTGCTTTGAACGATCCGTCAGTTCGGAAACGCAGTCTCAGCGTGAAATTGTTGCATACTGACAGAAACGTTACAATTGAAAACGAGCGTGTTAAATAATAGATACAAAACTTGAAAGTATAAAACAGAGGACGAGGACGGGAGCAGGACATCTTTCATTTAGCAACAACATAGCTATGTTGTTGCTAAATGAAAGATGTCCTGTTCCCGTCCTCGTCCTCTCTGTTTTATACTTTCAAGTTTTGTATGTGACAGAAACGGCATCTATAAAACCATCAGTCCTACGAAAAACTGGTGGTATTTTGTTTTCTATTTTTTTTTTAAGTAATAAGTAAATAAGCCATAGTGGCTTTTTCGATGCCTTCAGTTTGATGTCGATTTTGAAGTCAAGTTAGACGCATCGGGCTGCAAACTAACAGTGTAGCATAAATCCACCGGTACTAATATACGTCTTTCTTTTTCTTTCGGGCCAGTTTAATGTGGGCGCTCTGCTGCATGTGCCGGTAAAAGGGGCCAGAAACAACTGTTTTATTTGTTTGGCTGCAGGGACTAAAGAGACAGTGAAAGCAATTTCCAGATATGTTTTAAGTAATGTCTTTACTTCCAAGTAGGGCTCAGTGCACCACCCAAGTTTTACCAGAGTTTTAAGACGAATATTTTTATTCCTTAAGGCCCGCTTCATACAGACCAACTTCTCCCAGCAACGCAATACACTCGTGTTCTCATGCAGAAACCGAATTCTATGATTTGCGATCATCATCATTACATTATAATTTTCTTGTACTGTTTAGGCACACAGTTACGTTCTAGAAACATGTTTTGATATCTCTGAATGGCGTTGAAAATACTAACTCATTCCTTAGAAAATTTATTCCCAAGAACGATCCATTTCAAACCAGAACCAAGTTAAATTTTGTCTTTAGTTGTCATCATCCCTACCACAGGGGCGTCACTTGAAAATATCACGTCCCTGATTGGCAGCTGCCGCTTCAGACGTCTCGAGTTATCCGAGTTGCTCAGCCGTTGCGAGCTGGACTCTATCCGAGCAATTTGTGTTGCAGCGTGAGGATCTAGGCAAAGTTAAGGAACAACTTGCCAGCAACACCGGAATTGTTGGAAAAATTGCTCCGTCTGAAGCGGGCCTAAAAAAGCATGTGACAAAAAAAACGCAAACCTTTGACTCCGAAACGTCTCCTGAGAACCAGATGTGATGTTCACAATGTACTCGGCACAGGGGAATTCGATTGGAACGGTGGCCTCTTTGCAAAGCCATATAACTTCTCCTCTCCCAAACTGCGAGCATAGCGAAACGGGGAAAGTTGAGACCCAGGAAAGCAGGACTACTCTGCACACTCTCCACCCAGACAAAGGTGACCAAGCTTCAAGGAGCAAGAGGGGCAGAGGGTAGATTAATTGATTTATTAATTAAGGTTTAGTGGCATGAAATCAGCTAAATCTGTTCTTAATCTATTCTAGGCAAAGAGCCCATTAGAATAAGTTATGACCATAAATAAACTATCTCAGAGAGTGGTTTAGTGCCCCTTTAATACACCGCAACACCCATGTACGATTGCAGCCTTTATCTGTAACCAACTTGCAAAACTACAACATCTCGTAGCATTTTGTGGCAGCTGCTGGGGTCTACATTGTTTTGTTCCGGAGATACCCCACTGTGCGAGTATTTCAGGATGCTGAACATGTTGGTCGGGTTCCATGCACCCTGTTGAAAAGTATATATAGGTTGCGCATGTTTCGCACAGTGAACGTCCACATGCCCAAGGACCGTGTGACGGGCCATCACCAGGGCTATGGCTTTGTGGAGTTCCTGGGCGAGGAGGACGCAGACTACGCCATCAAGATCATGAACATGATCAAGCTGTACGGCAAGCCCATTCGGGTCAACAAGGTGGGCCCTCCTCTTACTGGCATCTGCATACCGCCACATAGTGTACTTTCCCTGGAACTGCCAAATGAGAGAAGAATAACCTTCCATGTGGGCATTAACTGCACTGTTCTTTGCAGCTTTTGGGAATGGTTACGCGTGATTGGATCAAAAAACGCTGTCGTTACGTGCGCAGGCCTCGGCACACCAGAAGAACCTGGACGTGGGGGCCAACATCTTCATTGGCAACCTGGATCCCGAGGTGGACGAAAAGCTGCTCTACGACACCTTCTCGGCGTTTGGTGTCATCCTTCAGACACCTAAGGTGGGCTTTGCTGTTTCACTTGGGTGTGTCGCGTGGAAAAGAATGTAGGTTGCAGGCAACCCAAGTGAATATCATTACATCTGCAGCTAGCTGGATTGTTGAACTGGTCCCAGCTGAATTCAGCTGGAAATGAGACAGTCCAGCTGGATCCAGCCAATAACAGTTTCAAAGTCCAGTTGCAAGTAGACAGATTTTCACTTGGGAAGCACTGAGCAGCACAAAGACGGTAGCAACTTGCTACTGTCTTTAATAGCAAACGGTAGAAAGCTGCTACCAAAGACGCTGTTGCTACTTTTTTTAGTAGGAGACGTAGCAAGCTGTGTCTGCTACAACTGCTACCAAAGACATAGCAACCTCAGTCCTTGCAGCTTGCTACGTAGCAACTGCCTCCTGAAGGCCTCGGACCAACAGCCAACATTTTTTTAATGGCCATGGCTTCTTTGCTCGTTAGTTTAGTGCATGAGGAAGCCAAGCCTCCTGCTGAAATGCTGATCTGCACTCTAAGGCTTCCAGCAGGTTCCTTTACTGGCTGGATTTCATCCGGGAAATGAAAGAAAATCCGGTTTTGGCCTCTCGAGATGACGGTTGTGATGCTATCCCTATCCTCTGGACATTCTTTATTGGCATGCAGATTATGCGTGACCCAGACACGGGCAACTCCAAGGGCTATGCGTTCATCAACTTTGCGAGCTTCGAGGCCTCGGATGCAGCCATCGAGGCCATGAATGGCCAGTACCTGTGCAACCGGGCCATCACCATTTCGTACGCCTTCAAGAAGGACTCAAAGGGGGAGCGCCACGGCTCTGCCGCAGGTGGGGACTTACAGCTCTGACCTTTTGCAGTGCATGTCGGGCGGTTAGCTAGGGTCGGAGCACGGGGGCCTGCTCATGCCTTTTTACTTCTTTTTCGTGGCTGCCAACTTTTTCAGGCAGTGTGTTCTTCCCGTTAGCCGAATACACTACGAGCGGGCTCCTATGATTGCTTCTGGCGTACCCTAATTCGTGAAAACTGTTGGCAGAGCAGAATAGGTACATCAAAAGCCCGTCTCGAGGTGACTTCTCAGAGTGCAACTAGAGTTGTGGAAAATGTGTGCAAATGGCGCAACTTGGAAGCACGACTTCCTCATCTTCTACCTGCGGTAATGCTGGCCTCTGTTTTACAAATGTTGTTTCAACACTTAAAACGGACAGTCACAGAACGATTGTCATACAAAAGTTCCTTGTTGCCATTGTTTTCACCATTTGTGCTTTCTAGTCACCAGGTTCTACCAAATATGTCGGAGAAGTTTTCTTAGTTGATCAAAAGGTTGGTTAAGAAAACGTCTAGCTGGGTTCATCTGGCAATGTTTGTCGATGCCTAATGAATTTCGTTGGGCACCGCCAAGCAGCAGACCAGTATCTATTACCCATTGTTCTTTTCTCACTCGGATTGTTTCGAGGCAAAGAAACAACCAGTATTTTCGAGAGACTGTGAGACAAGCACACACCAACGGGCAGACCAGACCTGAGGCCGAAGAGAATGCCACGTCTGCATCCGTGCCCAACGCGTGCATTGCCCGGCGTCTTTACAGAGCGCCTGCTGGCAGCCCAGAATCCTCTGGCCCACTCCGACCGACCCCATCAGCTGTTTGCGGATGCTCCCCCTGTCGGGGGCCTGCCCCCGCCCCCCGTGGTGGGGCTGGCCCCTCCTCCCCCACTCAACCTCGGCATGCACCAGGGGCCTCCACCGGGTAAGTCCCGGGACTCTGCATCGGAAGGCGAGGCCGTTTCCAGGAGGCAGGGGAGTGACTAATGACCGAGCCTGGCAGTACGCTCTGCCGTTAAATTGTTTTCCCACATGGTTTTCTTTTTTTTGTTTCGTTTCACAATTCTCCACAACACCGGCACAAATAAATGCACATTTTCTCTTTGTAGCAAAGCAGGTGACAGAATGAAAAGCCCAACTCAAAGTGTCCTGGTGCAACACCCCGTGCGTAAGAAGGCTGCAGTGCTGAATTTTCGGTGTCGCCTAACGGAGGCCAATGGGGGGCGTAGATTGGACACAGGGCCGCGTCAGTGGAGACTCACCTTCTCGCTGGTTGAATATGAGCCCCGGCCGAACAATAATGCGGCACTAATGTATATACTCTGTCCGACGTCCACCTCCCTGAGGCGACGCTAAAAGTTCGGCACCAAGGCCTCGCCATCTAGAAGGCGTCATTCAGCGCTCCGCTTGCAGACAAGCTGTTTCGACCCGGTTTGTCCGCTTTAGGGAGGGTCAGAGTTTGATCCCTAAACGTTTCAATCTTGAGGAGCCCCTATTCGCCTTCAATGGCGGCCTAAAAGACCGTCCTGCTCTTAGCACCGACTGAGTGACGTAGTGTAAAAGCTTACCGAGTTCAGAAACAATAATGCACATACTAAGGAGTGTCTGCCTTGTTGTTATACATCATTGGGTAGCTCAGGCCTGCTAAAATGGTGGTTAAACTGTAAAAACACTTTGCTTAAGAGAGGGATGGCCGATTTGGGAGCTCGAGGAACCCGCTAGGGTACCCTGGGGAACCCCTGAGTTCCTAGGAACCTAGCTTGAGAACCCACGCTTTAGCGCGTCGAAAATAGTTTATATTGTACCCAATCTTGCGCAGGAGGCATGAGCCTGCCGCCGCCACCCCTGCCGACGCTGCCCCCTCCGCCGATGCCGGGGGGCATGCCCCCGATGCCGCCTCCTGGTGGAGTGCCACCCCCCTTCAGGCACATGCCCCCCTTCGCCCCCGGAGGACCACCCCCGCCGCCACCACCCTCCAGTGAGTAGTGATTGCCACCTCTCTCGGAAGCAATGCCCCCTTTTTCCTGGTCAGGCTGTAGGAGTCCACCGAGGCCCAAACCTAAAAGAAAAGCTAAACATTTTTCTCGATTGTGCGAAATACTGCCTGGATGTAACCATTCACGTTTGTATGAATCTATTAAGTCGTGCATTCATTTGCCACAGATGTATAAACCTATTTGCCGCCGGATTAGACGGTTACGTAGCGTGAACCAACCGGGGGTGCACATTCGTGTCCGACCCACGAGCCGTGACGGGCCCGGCACCGTTTTGACCTGGAAGAGCGTAATGAAGTCCGTAAGCATTTTTGAAGGACAAAAGAATGGCCCACCCGGACGGAAAGGATCACGGTTTCGGCTGGTCGCCTTTGTGCGCCAATCCTCTCATGTGCCACTACACAAAGCGCAGTTTTGTAAAATTTTAGACTAATAATGTTTCCCTGTCGTTTTGAATCAATGTGCTCAAATGAATTGCAAGTGCTTGCGTGTGTTGCAGTGGGGATGCCTCCGCCGATGCACCCATTCGGCATGATGCCACCACCACCAGACCGCATGCACGGACCACCACAGATGGGTAAGTCAAACCGTCCGGTCGCCTTGGCGACCTGACAATCGCCATGGCGACTGCACTTCGAATGCGCTCGAGTCCACTCTTAACAACCTGACTTGTACGACCAAGACGCACCCGAGAAGCGTTGCATGAAGCTGTTTTTCTTTGGGTTACGGCTAGGTTTTGAGAGAAAAGTGAGGTCAAAATAAAAAAGGAGAGCTGAAAAGTTTGGTCTGCTATTACATTTACTTGGGCAGAACATCTATAGTCATCAACAACGTGAGAATGGCGGGAAGTTGTTTCGGTTATCCCGCCTCCGGCACGAGCTTCCTATCTTCGATGGTGCTTCGGGAACTTGTACACCTCGAGCTCGCGCGTGCAGCTAAAGTGCGGCGGAAGGTATGGAGCGTGTGCTAGGGGCCGGGCTTTCGAAAGACATGCACTGCCATTCTCATTCGTTGGTAACTACGGTAAGCAAATATACTCGCACATACCTCTCAGCCGTATTTAATACCGACGGTTTGGGGAGGGCTTCTCAACCGATCGTCTCGACATGTGTCGGAAATGTAATTTTCACAAAATAATTATTTTTTGTGATTTTTGTGCAGTTTCCTCTTGTGCTCGCCTAAGCTTTGTCGCACTAGACCAATTTTACTAAGCGTTCCACGCGCACATGACGTCGCCACAACTTTAGTCCAAAGGAGCAGGCACCGGTGTCAGAGTCAGATCACATTGTCTAGTGCTCTGCTTGCGCAGACCCACTGTGGGGTCGTTGCGTACGCAGAAAGACTACGGTTACTATGATGCGTGGTGAGAGTGGTGGTGTAACTGAGCTGGCTGGTGAGATCGGTGCATGAAGGAACCCGGGGTAGCGTGTCGACTGGCGACCGGGTGCCAGACTGGGGCCGAGTGCCCTTTGCCCACCCGGTGTACTGTGCGTGCAGGTCCCCCAGGAATGCCCGGAATGCCACCGTTCCCTCCGCCGGGCATGAGGCCGCCCCCACCGCACCCCCACGGGGCACCACCACCACCACCCTTCGGCCAGAGGCCCCCACCACCGCCCCCCGGCTTCGGTAGGTGCCCACTCCTGTAGTGGAGTTTCGGTTCTTTCGTTCTACATTTTCTGCTGCTTACACATCGTAACATGTTAGAATGGCCGTGTTCTAAAATTGGCTCTATCTCACTGCAGAGTAAAGTGTTCTTTACCTTGGCATTTGAAAACCTACTCGCATCCAGCATTGTTCTTTCTGCGTCGTCGTGACACAAGACCCGCGGGAGTCACTTGGACCTACTCGAATGGAGTCTGGAACATGTGTTAATGCCATTTTGGGTTTTTTTATTTGTTGTTGGCTTTCATAGTTCATCGGGGCCCCGAGGCTCCAAACATATTGCAACGGCAGCCACCGTACATATCGATAACTCCTTTTGTTTACACTCCTTGTTTACGCAGTGCGAAGGAATTCTTACAAGATTATGTCGTCGGAGACAAGAATAATGCTTTGTGCGTTTGACACTTAGCTGGATGTTTTGATAAAATAATGAACAACTAATCTGAAATACAAGTACTTGCATTTTAAAGTACCAAGTAAATGAAAAAAATGCCTAACTCTTCAGTAGGAGCAAAACTTCTTTACTGCTGTTCGAGGTGAAAACGAGCATACCGTAAAATCCTGTACGAACATCCACCCATTTTGAAGAGATAAATGGTGAAAAATATTGGGCAGGCAATCCTTGGGAGTAAGATGGCTAAAGTTGATAAAAATGGCCGTTAAATACCATGGCACCCGTTAACAACCACAGGACACGGGAACCGATGCCGCAGGTCGCACACACGGCAGATTCACATTTTACGGTGTGATGAAAAGTGCAGGAACTCTTTACAAACTTCCATGTCACAGGAACTGATATCGTGCACGGATATTGCAGACACTGCATAACTTGGGTTTCATTGTGTGATAAAAACGTGCGGGAACCTGCTCTAAGTTTGCACTTCTTGGAAACCGATATCGCAGATCGTGGACGTAGCAGATGTACATTTCACGGTGCGATAAGCAGGCAGAACCCGCTACAAGCTCTAATGCCACGGGAACCGTTATTCCGCGTGCAGATTGTCGACACAAGAAACTCTGGATTTGTCGTCCAATAAACCTGTGAGAACCCGCCACAAACTTGCTTGTCCACGTAAAGATACCGCAGATCGTGCAGTTGATGTGATTCCCGTTAGACATTGCGGTAATTTGCAAGGGGGGGATGTTTTTAAAGTTTTGGTTTACGGATATTTAGCCAGATAAATGGGTGCGTGATCTCTCGGGGAAGGCGTTCATACAGGATTTTATGGTAACTGTAGTAGCAACTACCGTAAAATACCGCGGAAGCACCCACTTCATTCAAGCACCCACTATTTACCTTTTCTCAATATGGGAATTCTGCAAATTATACACTAAGCGCCTGATTTGGCCGGACAATAACCCATGTCTAAATTAATCCCATTTTCAGTGAAAGTGGGTTGGGGGCTTGCCCGGTATTTTACGGTACATATGTCCGTGATAATTGTGTGGCCCGTCTTTTAGAACATGAATTTGGAAATTTGGCATTTCCTGTCATTAAAGAAGTTCCTTGACTGACCTTATAAGCTGGTAGTTTTTGTGTGTCCTCATTGTTGCACGTCATTCTGGAACATCAGTGCTACACATGCCACAACTGGGAGCCACCCGTAGATCGATAGAGGCAGCGTCCCCATCAGGAGCACGGGGCATTGCAGAGACTGACGGCTTTCCCCACGTGCCTCTCTTTGCAGGCATGCCTGGCCGTCCCCCCTGGCCCCCTGCGCCCCCCCCCACCCCCCAGTGCGGGTGGGCCGCCCCCTCCCCCGCCCCCTCCCCCCCATGCCCAGCGGTCCCCCTCCCCCACCGCCACCTCCTGCTTCCAGTGCCTCCTGAGCCCCTCCAGGAAGAAGCTTGAAAGCAGACAAGGGTGCCCCCTTCCACGGCACCCACTGTTCAATGTTTGTAACTGGCACTTCCAAAATGAATCGTATCATCTTCGTTATTATCTCAAACGTCTTTTTTTCTCCTCTGAACTATGCTATACAGTGCAATTGACTTATAACGATTTTGAGATAACCCAAAAATTTAATTGTTATAACCGATTACCATTGTATGTGGACTAGAAACTGATTGTTTCTCGACGAGAAACTTGATACTGTTCGTTATATGTGGTATCATTATAAGTGGATTGCACTGTACTAGATATATACCAAACTGCCATAGATTGCTCCCCAGCTTGACAGTTCATGGACGCTTTGGCAGCCACAAATTGGGACGCTGCTACGGCACAAACACTTGCTTCCACTCGTCTTTTTTGGCGAAACTCTTACGATTAACCGCCAGGAATGCGACCTCTGACAGCATGACGTGCATGGTTCCTGTGTGGTAACCTGTTACAACTTTGGGACCACTCGCGAACCATGGGCAGTATAGAACGCTAAACATATACCAGTTGAACACCTGTTCTTGGCGCCGCCCATACTCAAACAGATCTAAACATACGGTCGTATCCGAATGGGGGTTGCACAGAAATAAAGTGTAACTGCTTCGATACATGGGCATGGATTGGTTAATTTATTTTGCAAAAGGCACAAGCCCTTGTCGTTTGTGTGTGCCTTTGTTCATCCGAGTCTTGTTTGGGCCATCTAGCCCTTGTCGAAGCATGGATTGTTTGTTCATAAACAAATTCAGAACAAAGAGTACAATACTTCCTTGTATGCCACGCAACTCGATGTTGTCTCAAACGTGAAATTGTCACCTTTTGACATTTTGCTTGGACAGAGTAGTATTGACAAAGCAAAAAGTAAAAGCTGTTTTTGTCGCAAGAAAGAGCAAAACTGAATATAGCCGACTGCTTGCTCTTTATTACCGTTTCAGGCTCTGTAAATGGATAGAATGAGGAAAAATAAGCATTAAAAAGTTAATAACATTGCAACTGACTGTCATGCAAACTGAAGTGTTTCCAAGGAATAGTCGAAATTAAAGGGTTTCCGAGGCCTTTGAAAGTTGATATCCGAGGCTCTTAAAAACCTTTTTGTGGTTTTTGTGGAAACCCTGCACTGTTAGTACACCCTCTCATGGCGGAAGCCAATGGCAGGACTAGAGTTATTCCATTCTGGACCAGTCGTGCCATTAATGGGGGGCATCTTGCACATCGTGCTCTCCAGTGACAATGTTGCGCAGAACTCCTACAACCTTCCTTCATTCATGAATTATGTGCACCCCGCACCGAAGTCCAGTGCCTACCACAACGGAACGTGTGCCTTGGTCATGGGAGACCACGATGAGCAACTAGCCAGCCATCACGGCCGTGAGTCGATGCCCTTAGTGATGTCGCCTTTCTTTGTTGATTCATATGTCATTACTGAGTTCTCGTGCCAGATATTTACCAATAAGTGGACTTGACTTTGTTGTTCTGGGACCTTCAGAAGCGAGGGATTGTGTGGGGTCCATACAGTAATCTTGGAAAACACAAATGCAAGGTTGCAATTTTGAAAATATTCGTATTTGGGGCGTAATGACAGCGATTCGACAAGATAGGAGTGCACAGTTTTCATAACAGTATCAGGACGATGCATCAGTCAACTGTGTCAAGGTTTTTTTTACAGCGGAACTGTTAAGGGCTAGTTTCTCCGGGACCGTTTCCGGTACCAAACAAATGTTGACACCCGTGGTCGACACACCACTCTGGTTGCCGCCGTCGCTCGTCCAGAGTGTTGTTTGCTGGTTGTCTGCTTGACGCCGTCGCTCATAGATCGCGGCAACCTTTCCAGCCTCGGCAACCAGACAACAGGTTGCTGCCGTTACTCAGAGATGACGGCAACATTTCTTCGGAGGAAGAAAAAAGGAATGGAACAAGCGGCGACGTGCACAGCAGCGCAAATGGTTCCGCAATTGCCGCGAGGCCGCTATCGCCTAAAGTTCCACTGCATCGAGCGCTTCAGAATCCCTTGCAAAAGAAGAGCAGATCGCTCGCCTGGAAAGCCACAGCCAAGAACAGAAGCTACAGCTCCGCTGCTCTCTCTTCTTCACCAGAGTGGAAAGGCTGAAAGTTTTTTTTGTCTCTTAAAATTTGCAACTCTTAACAATGACTCTAGTATTTTACTTAAAGCGCATGCAACATATGTAGAATTTTTTATTCCCAGATTTTGTTTTGCAAAGACACCATTCGCTTGGAAAGATAACTTTAGAAAATCTAGATTATTTTCCAGCAAAACTCTGATCTTCCTACTCGTGAACAGAATTATTGGTCCCAAATAGTAAGTTTCTTTGGAGGAAATGCATCGTATGGATTCGGGGAGCATCAACGGGCCCTCTTGAGGGCCGCCCGAGGTGTTGCAGTGTGTGGTTCTACGCTTTCCCGCTAAAGAACACCCCAAAGAATTCCTTCCTTCTACTCCATGTAACAACGTTTGTGAGAAAAAGAGCTGGTTTATTTCAATTAAGGAAGAAAACAAAAGAGCTGATCTATGCAGTGATGCCCAGCGCTTCGAGAATGGTGCTGTTGCCAACGTAGTCCTCCGGAGATTCCTGCTTGAAGTTGAGCAGGACGCTGCTGCCTCCTGCAAAGTAGACGCATGCAGCGTTGCAGAGCAGTGTTCCCACAGCGTCGTCACCTTGTGCCTCAGCCAGGGAAAAAGGTGGGGATCCCTAGGTCGGCACCCAGCCCTTCAACTTGCACGTCGGGCGACTGCCGTGTTCTACCAACCTCCCCAAGATGGAAACGCACATGTGTGACTGCAAGCAGTGGAAACACTCATTTACACATAGAGTTAAGAGTTTTGGGGTTTTACTGTAGAATAGTGCGCATCCCCCCATTCCACTCTAGGCACCCACCCCCAAAATTTGGAACATCCGAAAAAATATGCACATTACTTATAGACGTAAAACTGATGACCTCACATGCGCCCATCCCCCATTTTTTCGCGATTCTCCTCAAATTTTGAGTGGGCGCTTGCTTGGTATTTTTCGAATTCGAAGGGAGTTTATTGGGGTTTACTGTTTCCCGCAAATTCAGTGTTGATCAATGTAAATTTTTTAAGAAAAAAATAAAAAATTAATGTTTATTGGGGTATACGTCGGCACTTCAACCATTGTGTTGCTTGAAATCATTGTTGCCGGTTCCCTGAAGCTTAATCTGAAATCGCAGGAAACGCTTTTCCATCCCCCCCCGAAATGTTAAAGCGGTCCGGGACAAAGAAAAACAATGTCAGCCGAGCTTCCCGACGCCATGCCGAGCTCGGGAAGTGGCATTTTCTAATCGTAGCTATCGCCGATTGCGCCCGACCTGCGATGGCCGTCAAGATGGCGGCACCCACAACAGTCCGAGTATGGACTGTCGATACCCGGAGCGTAGCTCATTTAGTGGCTCTACGCTCCACGAGTCCCCGTGGACCCACCTTTCTCGACGATGAGCGTGCCCCCTGTCTGCAGTCCGTCGCCGGTTGTCAAGTCGCCACCCACGTTGGCTTCCTTGGCCTGCGAACGGGCAACACTGTCATCCCCACAACATCTAGGTACAAAGGCCAATACCATCCATCCATTCAGGGAGAGTCATTTGTGCCGAGTCATCAACTCCCCATCTAGACCAGAGGCAGGCAAGCTTTGCTGCCTCGAGGGTTCCAAATGCAGACTTCTTTCCGTCTTTTGTTTTGCGAGAAGCCTTTGCAGGCCGCAGAATAGTAATTATTACTGTTTGAAATACAGTTTACAATACAAAATGGTGAATAGGTAGCTTGTCTGACTTGAGCAAGAAACGTGTGGTGAAAAACGTATGCACGAATAATGTTGATTTAAGGTGGCAATCACTCTAACGAGCCTCGTTTTTAAATTAAGAAAAATAATCGACATGTAATTATAATTTAAATTTTCTCGCAGTTGAAAGGCTGTCATCAAAACGAATGGTGTAGTAGAATGTACTATATCTGGGAAATCAGAATTGAAAATAAACTCTGCTGCTTGGCACTAAACTGAACGAGCTAAATGTGGTAAAGCAGTGATGTACTTGGACTAGTAGGTCTGTTGTGCCGTGCTCACAGCGTGACACTGCTAGAACAAACAAGCGATAGTCAACTTTTCCTGTTTTTCTCCTCGAACTGAATCAGCAATATACAGGGTGTTTCATGAAGGTGGACAAATTCGATATTGCGAAAACTATGCATTGCACCAAAAAAAAGGCTTGTGTCATTTTGGTCCTAGGCCATGGGCCTATTTAGGAAAATTATTGAAGTTCAAAGATAATTAAGTTGTTAATTATTTTCATGTAATTAATTTTTCAAATATTGAGTTTAAGGGCATGGTTTCATTTGGAAACTTGCTCAGCATCATCGAAAAACACTGAATAAAAAAAATTGGAGTGCGATAGAAGGCACGCACTGCAGTTTACAACTTTCTTAAAAACCGCACAACTTCGACGGGTTCTTAAGTTTCAGTTTGCAATCGAAGCGCTTCTTGGCACCGATGGCACTGCACCCCGTGGAGAAATAGTGCAACCTGCCTCTGCTACGTTGCACGAGGACAGCGAAGCAGATGTTGGTTGCACTATTTCTTCACACGGCACGGTACAAAGTGGCCTTTGGCTGCTCCGAAAGGTGCTCCAAAATGGCTTAGACCAATCACATCACTGAGATCATTATATGAACCTGTTGTCAAACTTCACCTTTGCTCCACAGTTACTAGGCAATTGTTCACACAAGTGTTCACATATACAGTTGCGAGGAGATGGGAAACAATTGCTATTGTGATAAGACTGAGCTAAGTGAGATAAGAAAGTCTCCCTTTCCTGATAAGTGGAGTGCAATCCACTTATAACAATAACGAAAAAGACACAAATTCAACTGTTATAACCGAGTATCGTTCTGTCTGGACTGGAAGCTGGGCGTTTCTAGTCTTGAGACCTTAGAAACTGATTGTTATAAGCACTACATTGTTATATCTCGTATCATTAAGTAGATCGTATTGTATAATTTTGTGTTTTTAAATAAATACGATCAAAATCCGAAAAAACACTCGCCCGTGAAATTTGCTTCAATTTGGATTTATCCGAAAAACTCTTGAGTTTCAATATTACGATGGCGACAAAACAACAAAAAGATAGTATTCTACATGCGAGCTTTGTCAGGGCACAGGGTCAGTGGTCCTTAGGAGAGGCCTCCCCAGTTTCTTCTAAATCTCATACTAGTATTGCCAAAGGTAGGTTCGCCGTTTATCCCGTCATGTTTTGTGCAGGACAACAAGTCACTAATTTTGGGTGGCCAGTTTGAATTTCAAAAGGTTCTATCGCGCCACTTTATCCCGTGCATCTGCGAGGTAGAGTGGTGGAATGGGATGAGAAGAAAACAAGCTTTCTAGAGGCCACGTCAAGGATTTCAGTGCTTTTAAAGTGTCGACAATTATAAAAGCAACATTAGTTTTCAATTTTTGTTGCGCAACAGTTAGTATTACTAATGGCAAGGGTGCAAATTCTCAATCCGGCCAAAGAAGTATCATTCGATATAGGCTAGTTGTTATGAATCTATGGCAGGTTTGTGTCTGGGTAAGAGTTGCTTATATATTGAATTTTACAAGATTAGGCACACAGCAAAATAAAACTCAGAATTCCACTTTTTTTTCAATTATATTTTGTTATTTTCGTAATTTCTTTTCACAGCCACACTGACACAGAGATTGAAAATACAAAAAAAAAAAAAAAAAACTGGCTATTATCATTACTATTTTTAAACAACAGTTTTCCTCAATGGATGCAGTGTTTTTTTGCACTTTAATGCAACTCTTCGAAGGATAAATTTATAAACTTAAAACTTTGCATGAAATTTTCTTGCATAGCTACGAAGGTGCCCTGCAAATTTCATACCAGTGACATTAACGGTTATAAATTTTGCTTTTCGGAGTATAGTATGCCAAAGGCAGTAGCGCCACAAGCTTTACAGAGGTGAAGGGGTGACGAGCGCTGGCGTCGGAAAGGTTGGCGGTGGAAAAGGGCTATGAGGCCATGCCACCATTAGGAAAAAATATTTGCCTCCACCCCCTTGCTGTTACACACTAACTATGCATGTCTTTTTTTTTTTTTTTTTTTCTATCAGAGTTTGGATTTTTGAGTCGGGATGCATATTGTTTGTCTCGATTTAGTATACAGTGCAACCCACTTGTAATAATAACGAGAAAACCCGGAATTCAGATTGTTATAACCGATTATCATTGTATCTCAACTAGAAACAACTGATAGTTTCTAGTCTGGAAACTCTAGAAACTGATTGTTATAAGCAATGTGTCGTTAAACGTGGTATTGTTATAAGTGGATTGTACTGCATGTGATGTATCTCTATCTCACACCTCGTCCGTGTCTCTGCTTGTGTTCCCTTTCCGCCCCCCCCCAAAGAGTGTTGTCCCGACTCAATCTTTTACAAAGGTTGAAAACAAGACCACGAGAACCGGCAAGCATGGGTTGGAGCTAGTGCTCCAGTCCCCTACTCTGGCTTTTTACGTTTGAAGTTTCTCATGTCCAGTTTTATCAATGGCCGACGTTCACATATCTGGTCGGATCTCCTTATGACGGTCGACATAAAAAAAAAAGATGTACATGTAAATGTAAGATGTTTTCGCAAGTGTTCCAAGTGCTTTCAACTCGTGCGTTGCCTGTCGCACATACCATGGGAGCTTTCCACTCACCTCGGCCGCTTTAGCTCGGGCGGTGGAGGTCAGGATGGCCGGGAAGATGTTGAAGTAGTTGAACCTGCAAAGGCAGCCTTTTCCAGACAGCCCCTTGGAGCAAGGGGTACGGTGTGGCCCATACCTTTTGAACTGCAGTGCCTTGTAAGCATTCTTCTCCACATCTATGTACAGCTCTGGAAAAGGATCAAAGTGTCAAATCAACACCAAGAACATTGAGACTGTCGCAAGTAAATCATAGCGATTGCCCTAGGTCTCCGTTGCACCAACGGAAGAAAGTGTGCTAAAATATACAAGTGTTTGAACTTTCACAACAAAGTTAGTTCCAAATGAAATGTTTCGAACGTTGGTAACTTTGTCTATTTCAGATGCCCCTGCAGCTCAGCCTCTATTTAGATTTGACCATTTAAGAAGCATTTCTATGAAATGCAGCACGAGCTAACTGGCAGGTTGATGCAATCTGCATTTTATTGGCATTTCAGCTAGAATACTTTTTTAAGAAATGCAACGCAAGGCAAGCTAATTGGTAGGTTGAAGCAATCTGCATTTTAGTGGGGATATAAATACCACCCAGGCTTTTGGCCAGCATCAGTAACACAGATTGATCTTGACCTTTAAGCAAGCTGGAAAGAAAGAGGAAGGAGAGAGAGAGAGAGACCTCCTTTGAAGAATTCTTGCTTCTGGAAGTCCTCGAGGCCAGCTTTCTCATGACCAATGCCAACGAGCCTTACGTTGGCCTGGTCCAGCTGGGGCTTGAGCTTGCTCAGGTGCACCGCGTCCATGCGGCAATACGGACAGGCGAAGCGGCGGAAGAACATAACCACACACCGCTGATCCCGCCACAGGCTTTCCAGCACCACATCCTGCAGAGAGACACAACCACATATGACGATCAGGCGTCGTTGTACAACCACTTGCCTCCTCACCCAAAACCCAAAAATATTGGTACTAGGGTTTTGTGTTTTCAGTAACTACCGACAAACCCCGAAAATTAATGAAATTCCGGAGCCGGTTTTATCCATATTGGGAAAAACCGGAAAATCCAGCCATTTTGCAACTGACCTTGACACTCAATCTTAACGGGAAGAAAATGTTTATCTACAGCTTCGTTTTATGTTGACCTGGAACACATTCCCTGTCCGTGAGGCTTTCTTTAGCACCAGATACATTATCTCACTTCTATCTCTTAACGACATGGAGACATTTTTCATGCATTCGAGTCATAAATATGTTTCCTGGGGGGCTATGTTCGACAAATGTTTCGTAATTCTCCTAAAAAGAAACGGAAGTATGTGACAGAAGCGACGATATCGCATCTGATTGGTTAGAGGCTCAAATGACGAAAGTTCCCTCTTTCGTTATTTGAGCTTCTAACCAATCAGACGCGATATCATCACTTCTGTCACTTCCGTTTCTTTTTAGGAGAAACGAAACATTTGTCGGACATAGCCCCCCAGGAATACTATGTCCTGTCCTATTTCATTCATGATGAGTCCCGATTCTTTGTTTGGCAGCAAAAGGTGATACCAAAAAACACATAATCTGTGAGAAGCAAAAAAGAATAAATAAATAAACATGAAAAAAAAAAATTTTTGAATCATGAAGAAAAATAAACCCCGAAAACACGGCACGGGGGGCGTAACCCAACGTACTGGGCGCCCGTATCCGCCGGTGAGGCACAGCAAGCACGTGAAAGCCTTTCTTGGAGTAATTTGCACCTACGCTAAATTCTGAAGTTATTTTTTTGCGCAACGTCTATTCACTCATCCATGCACACATTCGCGAGTCTGGAAGGAAAACCGAGAAATAAATAACGAAAATAAAAGCTCCCTCATATCCAAATGATACATAGGGAGTTCTAGCAGATCGTTTTTCTCCTCCGCTACTGTATCCGTAAAGGAAACGCCGCAGCTGCGCATGCACGCCGCCAGACTTATCTGCATATACAAAACTTTAAAGTATAAAACAGAGTGGACGAGGACGGGAACAGGACATCTTTCATTTAGCAACAACATAGAATGGCACAACGATAAAACCGCCCCCCAAGGGTCTCAACGTTCTCAAAGAGGGAAAGGAGATACTAGTTATAAAAGAAAGGGAATACACTAAACGAAAAGTTTCAAAAGCGCATCTGTAATCTAGTTATTTTCGATTACTTAGAATTAACCTTGGTCATATCAGTGATAATGCGGAATTATTCTTGTTTGCAGTCCAAAAGGGAATTGTACTATAAATATAAAAGTTTAAAAAGCTGTAGCGTCACGATTCTTGTTTGCAGTCCAAAAGGGAATTGTACTATAAATATAAAAGTTTACAGATGCGCTACAGCTTTTTAAACTTTTATATTTATAGTACAATTCCCTTTTGGACTGCAAACAAGAATAATTCCGCATTATCACTGATATGACCAAGGTTAATTCTAAGTAATCGAAAATAACTAGATTACAGATGCGCTTTTCAAACTTTTCTTTTAGTGTATTCCCCTTCCTTTATAACTAGTATCTCCTTTCCCTCTTTGAGAACGTAATTGAGACCCTTGGGGGGCGGTTTTACTTTTATCGTTGTGCCATTCTATGTTGTTGCTAAATGAAAGATGTCCTGTTCCCGTCCTCGTCCACTCTGTTTTATACTTTCAAGTTTTGTATCTATTAACCAACACGCCCGTTTTCAACTGTTATCTGCATAGTTCAAGGTCTTGTGGCGGATTACGGAGCGCTATGCGGGTGCTTAGCGGGCTGCGGAAACGGTGTACTGAAACTCCCCAACCAATACGTTAGCGTGCGGCGCATTCAATAGGGTCCATTCTAATCTACTGTACTGCGTTATGAAGCACGAAACCGGTCGGGAAGAAATCGCCGTAAAGATTGCAAGTTCGTTTGTTTAACTGTAATCCCTAGTTCAAGGGTACGCCGGTACGCGAGAGCCGCGAAAACAATTTACAAATCCACTTTAAAAAAAAAAAAAAAAAAGACAATCGCATCTCAAAACCAAAGTACAGTCGATACAGTGCCACGAGCCACAGGCTCCAAAAAACGAAGCAGCAGCCCTCCGCTGCTGGATGGAGTCGTATTGCATGCGAAACGCCATTAAAGGTAAGCGGGTCATTGGTGAATCACAGGAGTCTCACCTTGCCGCTAGCGGCTTCTTTGACCACGAACTGTCCGATGAGCTGAGCAGCGTTCATGTCTCCTTCGTCGGTGCGACTGGCGGCGGTTTTCCAGAAATCGCCTACTACGACCAGCCCCCGATAGAGGAAGGGGAAAGATAATCTAATAGGAAACGCCAGCTCGATTAAATATTCAGGGTCATTCGACCGGCGAATGAGGAGTTAAGTAAACAAGGAAAGTCTCGAGCGCACGCATGAAGTACGCGACTACTCCAAGCATGCTCCAAGCTAAATACGCAGCCACTTTCGGTTTCGGTTTCTAGGTTATCGAGTCAGATAAGGCTGCAATTACGCATAATACGGGTTAACTATATTACGCAAAGAAATAAAACAAATATTAAAATTTACATATTCAACTTTACATATACACCGCAACGCCTACTCACCTCACCAGGGTGCCAATTGTGACAAAAAGCAGACGGCTGCGTTTATCGTGGATCTCGAGACGAGTTGTCCGGTATGTTTGTCAACTTTGGTGCTCCATTGCGCTTGCCGTGCCTGGCAGCCTAGCCAGCCTAGCACCCTAGCACGCTCTACAACCGACCGCAGTCCAGCGATGCGCCGGCTGTGAAACCCGCTGCGTCTTGCGAGCTTGGCAGGAGGACAAGCGCGTCGGAGGAACCCGATGAGGCAATCCCCGAATCGGGGTTGTCACCTCCCGGGCCCGCGGCCCCGCAGACGCGCACGGAGCTAGGGCCGTCGTTCCGGTCTCCATGGACGACGTCTCGACGCGGATGGGCCCTGGGCCCGAGTTCTGCGACCTGCCCTGCGAGCTCCAGCTGCTGGTGCTCTCCTACCTGAGCCACGGCGAGCTTGTGCTCGTTGCGCGGGTCTCCAAGGCGCTGCGTCGCCTCGCCTACGACCCGTGCCTGTGGAGGACCGTGACGGTGCGCGAGGACATGGACGACCGATGGCTTCAGGGCGCCCTCGACCGCCTGTCGCAGCTGGAGGCACTGACCCTCCGCGGGTCGCCGCTCGTGCCCGCCTGGGCCGCGCATGCGGCGCGCTTCCCCAGGCTCCGGCTGCTGGACGTGGGGTTCTCGCTGGACGTGAACGGCGCTGCGCTGTCCCACTTCGTGGAAAGCTGCCCGCTACTGTCGCACCTGAACGTGGAGGGGTGCAAGGGCGTGGACGACGCGGCCGTCGAAGCGCTCTGCCCGCTGGCGGGGCTGCTGAGCGTAAACATGTCGCACTGCTGCCAGGTCACTGACGACGGGCTCTTGGCGCTGGCCAGGGGCTGCCCCAGGCTCGTGTTGCTCAACGCCGACGGCATCTCCAGGATCACCGACAGGTAGCGCGTCGCTGCCGTTTCTTGGGAGTTTGACGCAGTATCTTGTCGGAAATAGCACGCATATGGTTAAAGAGGCGGAGAAACTTAGAACTGGGCCAGCCTGTTTTCTTTTTCCGACCCTTTTATAGAAGCTCGAGTTTTTATCTTGTTTCTTCTGCTGCTCGAGAGTGTGCGGCCGAAGCGCAACCAGCTCGCGCTCGTGTATATATAGTTATGAGGTAGTGTCTTAAATTTTCAGATGCTCCTTCTACGTTTCACAAGAAAGAAGGGTCAAAGGCCAACCTGCAGCACCGTTTTTCACCTGGCACCCGAATTTATAGTCTCCTCCTCTTCGTTCCCTCATTCTCTGTCTTAATCCTCATTTCCCGAAAGGATATCTGAGCTACTGCAATGCCTTCTGCCATATGATGCTAAATCTTCTATGCCAATTAAGGAGGCGGATTAGACACGAGTGCTACATTTGCATTCGACTGGGACTGTTGTTCAGTCATCGAGGACACAACTCCCAGCTGAGTGCCAATGCCGCATCCGTGTCTAATGTGTGCCCTGTGCGGCTTCACTTACCAGCAGGTGACATAAAAAATTCGCCACTATGTTGCCTCATTGCCTAGGAGGTGTTGGCCACCCCCTGCGGAAAGGAGGAAGGGTCGCATAGAAAGAAGGAATCGACGGGCAGTTTCCTTTTTCCTGGCTACTCCTCGTGCTACTACAGTAAAACCTCGTTATAACAAAACGGGATATAACAAACCAATGGATATAACAAAGCAATTATAATTCCCCTTGCTTGCTAATAGTGGGAAGAAATGGACATTGGCTATAACAAACTAATGGTTATAACGAAATAATTATGACCACTCCTTCAACTTTGTTATAACGAGGTTTTACTGTACTACAAATTCCAGACCAGGGTGGCACTGGACCCATACCGCAACGGCAAGGAATTGAGCGCGGGCGTAACCCATCGACTCAATGTCCTGCCAGAGACTGCAGCCCACAGTGCCCGCGATTGGCTGCCGTCCCCTCCTCCCGGCAGGGCCGTGTGCGGTTTGGCCGAGCACCTGGGGCCGCGGTTGGTCTGCCTGGAGCTGGACGGAGAGCAGCTGACGGACGCCTCCTTCGGGGCCCTGCGCCGCTGCAGCCGCCTCGAGACCCTCTCCGTGAGCTACGCAGAGAACCTCACTGACGCCAGCCTCGCCTCCATCAAGGCAGGTGCCGGGGAGTGCTTCCAAAAGACCCTGTCTGCCCTAAAAAAAAGCCGAGCCCCACAAGAAACTTTTTTTTTTAAGTACCCAGATGGGACATATATGTCACTAAATACACTTTAATGTCAGATTGCTGAAGCATGGCTTGTTTCATGGCTCTATAGTCACTAACAGAATGCAAGCGGCAGGTCATGTCTTTCGAACGCATGTCATCCAGTCTGCATTCCATGCCTTCCACCATGCTTTGGCTGCATGCCTGCACTTGAGGTACACAAGACCCCAAAACTTTGTCGAAGATAGGAAGCTTGCGCTGGACGCGGGACAACTGAAGCTTCTCCATGCTGTTCTCACCTTGTAGCTGACTATGGTTACTGCCATTCATAGATCCATTAATCTATCCACCACGGGAAAAATTGGGAGCCGGAGCCAGATGTGAAACGCGGCCAAGAGTGCGTCCGAACGATGCGTCCCCCGTGCGCAGGAGCTGCGGACCCTCCGGCGGCTGAAGCTGCGCAGGGGTCCCCAGCTGACGGCAAGGGGCCTGGGGTCGCTGTTCCGGGGGGGCAGCCTGGGCCGCCTCATCTCCCTGGAGCTGGACAGTCTGGCGCTGGACGACCAGGCACTTGCCCTGCTGGTCAAGGGGTGCGTGGGGCTGCTTCTAGGGATTATAGGGAGATGCCGAACTCCCCGGGGGTTCGACTGTTTTCAGAGTAGGAGCGAGAGTGTTCTCGGCTGCTTATTTTATATGGCGCCGCAGCTTGCGCATAATCAATTCTAATGAAACATTTCTGGCCCTGTTTTTGAGCTCCCAATTGACCAAAAATTTGATGATAACGTCTCGCCGATGTACAAAGCTATCGAGGTTTTGCTGCATCCGATGTGCTTGCCCTTAGCGCTGCTTCAGCCACCGGTCGATGTAAGCTTGTGTACGGCAGCAGAACGGCCTGAGATTTTTGTATGAAGCGCGGGTTGTCAGTATCTTCCAACGTGAAGTACAAGACGATCACAATTTCAGCCTGCTTCCAATCTCGCTTTGCTGTGGCTCACGGTTCGTAGCAGAAAATCGGCTTTTTTCCTGGTCTGTTAGCAGGTGACGTACGGTGTTTTCTACTTTATTTCTGTCTGTGAATGGCACTTAGTAGCAGACGACCCGCATTCTTCGCTCATGTTAGCAAAACATACCGTCTACAGTTGGGGGTTCTCTTCGCCCCTTTCCGCGAGAGGCAAATTAGATCTCGCTCTCGCGGTGACCAAAACCAGACCCCAGAAACAATTTTTTATTTGAAGGGCCTGGATAGGACAAAATTACAAAATTAAATTTTCATCCCAAAATTATTTAAACATGCTAGATTTATGAAGATGGTCACATTTTGAGTTGGGAGCATTTCAGAAACATGCTTCTATTTCGGGGCTGACATCTCAAAATAGAAGCCTGTTTTTCCAGAATTTTGTTATATTTACATTCTCCACCAAATCTCCTGCGACCAGAAACTGCCTACTGTTCCGCATTGCAAAGCATTAAAAATATTCTGCAGCATAGCTTTTCTCATTACTAGGTTTAAGATATAGTAGATGCATTTATAAATTTTGCAAATCTGTCTCTATTTGTCTGGATGGACTGACATTTGTCTCATTTAAAACACTTATCACAGATTAAGCTTCAAAGTCAATGGGTTGTTTCGTTGACTTGAGCAGGGTTGATGCAAAGCAGAAGCTAAAAAAATTACCACAGTCTTACGAAATGACATCGCAGCGTGGCTCATGGACGAGGGAACACAACTGCGCTTGCACACTTCAGAAAAGAATGCTCTTAGTGGACTCATGCATGAACCGAACTCTATTTTCGGATGCACCTGCATATGTTGAGAGTGGCCACCCATACACGATTGGTACCGGCATCTTGACTGACCGATATGTAAAATACTGCTACTTGCGATTTATCTCGGGTTTCCAATTCAGCAGTCAAACAAAGCAATTGAATTGTTTGATAATGTCACCGTGATCTGGAGAGAGCCGCCTCGGTGGCTGTGAGGTAAAGCGCCAGTATACGCATCCCCAGGTGGCGGGTTCGAATCTCAGCCGAGGTGCCCGCAATCCGACGGGGGCTTATTGCGCAAAAGCTGCCGTGTAACCGCGAGTTTTCGGTTGCTCAACAAAAGATCCCCCTGTTGGTCGAAATTAATCCTCGCTTCTCCATTGGGATGTGCCAGATGCCCTTCGTTGATTTGGCAAACAAAACTCTCAAATTTATCCTTTTTTGTTTTTTTCTGAAAATCTGAAAAGATGTTTTTGCATTGATTGGCCCTGGTTTTCCAGCTGCCCGCATCTCCAGGTACTCTCCCTCCCCTGGTGCTGGGACATCACGGAAGCGGGACTGGCCACCATCGTCAACAACTGCCCGTAAGTGTTTGCATCCTTCTCGCTTGTTCCCGGCGGGCGTTGTCTGTGAACACGTTAGTATTACAATGCCTGAAATGCATCTTTGACTGGTGCGTCCAGCGTCCTACACTGCCCGCACTTTGAAAGTGGTCCCGAGGCGGAATTGCTATAAAAAAAAAATTTTTTCGCGGAACAATTCTTTTGTGACATGCTTGTCCCAAATAGGCTGTTTAAAAATACACTATTTTTCCTTTGCATTTACCCTTTAAGCCATAAAAGTTGTTGCAGCTTTGTTCATTCGACCAACACAATGTAATGCAGTAGCTTTACAGGAACATCATTAGTGGAAACAATTAGGAAAGGAAATGGTATGGTGATGGAATGGTTGTATAATGCCATACACACATCGAGGACGGCGTCTAGTATGACGTCAAGAACGACCTCTAGGACAGCGTCTAGGACGACCTCAAGAATGATGTCAAGGGCAATGTCTTGGACGACCTCAAGAGCGACCTCTGGGATGACCTCAAGGAGGACGTCCTAGAGGACAATGTCTAGGATGATCTCAAGGACGATCTCTAGGATGACGTTGAGTCACGTCAGCTTCAGCTAATGGAGCTTACGCAAACGGAGCTTACACAACTGGTTCTTAAACGACCAGTGGTTACAAGCTTATGCAGCCAAGGCTTACGCGAGCGGTGCTTAACAGCTTATGCGACTAGCGCTTCAGCCAAGGGCACCTGAGCCACAGGCACTTCTGCCACAGGCACTTCAGCCACATACACTTCAGCCACAGGCATTTCACGACCTTGATTACACGACCTTGAGCGTGGTCGGGCCTATAAAGCTACCGCTTTAATAAAGGAAGGTTGGCTTACGATAGTAAGCAATATTTTTAAGCCCATCGAACCAATCGAGATACTCTGCCACGGGATCTATTTCCCCAAGAATGCCGCTGCGAGCAGTGAAGCTTGATGCACGTGCATGAGTGTAAAGTGGTGAAGATTGAGACAAGAGGGCTGGTGCAAAGTGGTAAAGCTGGATGTCAGAAATGTGGGAAATTCTAAAGACATTATTTGTAATTTTTGCATATTCTAAGACCTCAAATACTTTGAACAGCAGTGGTATACTGCAAATTAAATTGAATAACAAACACAATCAGCAAATTATTTGAAGTTTGAAATATTTGCCCACCTTTAGTACTCACACATTTCAACTATGTGCAGTTGCATGCCACCTTGCAGATTCCGAGCAGGCTGCTTCCAGGGACCGCCATGACAGATATGCTTGATTCTGACGGATTCGGCATTTGCTTTTGTCTGCATTGAATTTTGCTAAGGAAATATAAAGGCAGAAGAAGTTATTGCATGCATGAATGTTCAAACTGGGTTGTTTCAAGTACCCATTTTCTGAAAACAATTGTGAAAGGATCTACAGGATGTGCCATTTCTTTCTGCATAACAGACCATTTGGTCCACACAAAACCCCACTTCACCTTCAAATAAATTAAAGTGCTTCATTTATCTAAAAGTGTTGTACATGTCTTGTCTAGTATCACAACCTTAACTCCTTAACTGGGAAGCGCGTCTTTAGACGCATAGCAATTTTGACCGCAGCTTGGGGGATGCGTCTATAGACGCACTGCTCTTCAGATAATCTTGGGGAGCGCGTCTTTAAATGCTTGCTTTTTTTATCTCACGGGAGGAAGTGCCGTCTATCCCTAAACATCGGAAATAATTTTGCTTTAGAAACCAACGAGTAGATGGCAGCACAAAGAAAGTTTGACGAGATACGTCTGGTACCAATGGCAAAATGGGGACAAGAAAAACCCCTATTTTGTGAACAGTTTTTGGTCATAAAGTCCCCAATTAAACAGTTAATTGACTGGAAACACCGGACCGGTCTGAACGGCCACAAAAGCTCAAATTCATTGACCTTTTTTTTATTTCTAAAGTTGTTACAGAAAAGGGGCACTGGATGTATTGCCAGATGCACGTCAAAATTGGCAGCACGTGCGGCTGCCACACAGAGGTTGCCCATATCAGTCGTGTCTTCTTTTTATCAGTCATTACTCTTATGAAAAGTTCCAACCCATTCTCGTCCGTTATTGCACATTCTGGTTTAAAACCTTCCTGTGGACAGTGCGCATATAAAAGCGGTAGTAGCGCACTGCTTCGATACACTCGCCCTTCCATCCATCTCCGCTGCAGTCTCCCCTTTATTTCGTTGCAGATGCAAGTTTGCCTTCTTAAACATTTATTTTCAGTTTTATGTCCATTTACTAACTTTTTTTTTAGACAGTATGGATAAGTACTAGTTCACACGCAACCACTCAAGACCACATACCTTAAAACCTCTTAAAATCTCACAACAAGTGCTTAGAGCACACTGGCGCCATCTATGAGGTAGCGGCGAAACACTCGGCACTTTCATATTTCCTACCTTTTTCCCACATCGTTCTTTCACTTTTGGTTGGAAAAACTTGAGAATGTTGTGAGCTACCATTTCTTTTAGATAGTGCATACATTTGTTCTTGTAATCGTTCTTTCACTTTTGGTTGGAAAAACTTGAAAATGTTGTGAGCTACCATTTCTTTTAGATAGTGCATACATTTGTCCTTGTAAACATTTCAAAACCTTCTTTTTAGTGAAATACAGTTTCAAGGTCAGCTCATAGATGGTGCCAGCGTGCCAGTATGTTCTGTCGTCGTAAGAGATCGCAAGAGCTCTGGTGCAAGCAAACGCGAGTGTTTTGAGTTTAGCAGCGGCTCGTGCCTCCTGGCCAGTGTGGCTAGGGAGAGGGGAGTGGGGGTGGTTCTGGTTAGCGACCTCTCCCATAGCCACCGGAACATGTGAGGGGCAGATGAGCATGGCATTCCTTCCCGGCAGGAACCTCGAGAGCCTGGTCCTGCTGGGCCTGTACAAAATCCACGGGTTCTGCCTGGCCGGCCTGGCCGTGAGCATGCCCAAGCTACGCTACCTGCACCTGGAGCAGTGCAACGAGGTGAGTGCCACGCACGTTTCCCCACAACCGTTCCAGTAGTGCCACGAAGGGAAATAAACCAGGAAGTATTCCTCTTCACCTCGCACCGTCGACGAGAAAAATAGGTTTCTGTCAAACGTTGTCTATCTATCGACTGCTGCCTTTACCAAGGCGCTCACGTAACGTTTACTACCGTATGGTCTGTTGCAGGTCAAGAAAGGTAGGACAAGTGGAGAGGAAGAAACAACCAATCGTGTCAAGCAGAGAGCTTTGTGAGAGGAGCTTGTTCTGCTGATTCTTAACCCGCAACAGACTATGGGTCAGCGCTTCTCTAACTTTGTGTCACCGCGGAACCCCATCTGTCTCGGAGGTGATCCGCAGACCCTTAATGAATATGTTTACGCAAAAACGATGCGTCGCATGAATCGGAGAACTTGCGTCGTCATAAATTGGAGAAAGTCAAAGTCATCAATCCGGCCAAATGTAGGTCATGCCTCTTGTCTCTGACATCCTGCGGATGAGCCCAGGCAAAGTGGTTTCGCATGGTGAAAGCGGAGGGGCAACGCATATCTCGGCACTTTTTTCAAAAGAGGCTGTATTAAAAGTTCACTTGCACTTATAAACCACCAAAAGCGTACACTGGACTGGTGAGAACTCCGCCATAGCTGCGAAGAGGTTCGGTGCAACGATTTCGGTCCTCTTCTGGATCGGTGCGAACCTCCATCAATGTTGCTGCGGACCTCTGGCGATTCACAAACCACAGTTTGAGAACTGTTGCCTAAGCCTAACCTGTTTTAATTTGCCATTTTTGGTTCATATTAGGCTGTGTGTATTTGTGTGTGCTACCAATCTGTTTCGATACTTAGAGTTATGGACACTATTTTCGCTTTCCATTTCATTTCCCTTTTGTAAAGCCCGAAGCGGTTTCTGCCTTTGCCTCGGCCCTACATAGACAATTCAAACAATCGCTTTCTGCACCTTGTCTTGTCTATCGGGCAGCGGAACACATTTTGGACATGCACAGTACCTTTCTTCGGCAAAATATTGGATGCCGCTCATGCGTCCACACCTGAGTAACTCTGCGTATTTCGTCCGGTCGATAAACTGCTTTTCACACACTTCCAGCTGAGTAGGACAGAGAGAGACATGACCCTTTTTTAAAGGGCAACTCCACTCAATTCCAAAACTTTTAGGCTTATATGCGATTCCATTTCCCAAAGCACTACTGAACAGCCCCACGTCTTTGGATTCGCAAAATGTTGATTATTATTTGTGTAGTCTTAATTTAAACTTCAGCAGATACCGAAACTTCGGTTGCATCAGGCAACATTGGTCTCGTGTTGTCAGAGTCATGGCCACGTCACGTCGAAACACATGGTCTTGTGACGTTCGGGGAAGTGACGGCCCGGGGGAGAGGACGAGGCGGGAAGACGAAAGAGGAGAGGGGGAGCGGAGAAACCGGACACGGGGAACAAGCTGGGACGGGTCGGGCGTCGGGGGAAACGAGTCCGAGCGGGAAACAACGCACCAGAGAAACGCAACGAAAAGGCCTCTCGCTGGCGTCAGTGCCCCAGGCCCCCGAGCCCTGAGGAGCCCAGATCGCCTCAACCGCAAGGCCATTCGCTAGCGTCAGCGTTCCAAGCCCCAGAACCCTGTGAGCCCGACCAGAGGAACACAACGGCCACCCGCTGGCGTCAGCGCCCCAAACCCCCGAACCCTGTGAGCCCCGGAACCAACTTGCCCACACACCAGCACAGTGCCGGACAGCCCGGGACACCACCCTTTCAGAACGCCACGACAGTCAGTGAGCTGCGGGCGGCACCAGCACCGACTCCTATTATTATTATACAGTAAATATTGTTTTCGCCTTGTCTCTCCTCGCCTCAGCATGGGCCCACTACAGTGCGTCTGTGCCTCCCTTCGGGGGTCGTCACAGTCTCAACGGTTACGTGATCCTCTACGTGACGGCGGGCGAACATAGAGCAAAGCGCAAGTGTCGTCTGCTCTGCAATTTTCGCCACTGTAGTTTTCTACAACATTGTGTGTAAACTTGTAAAAGACACCTCTCAGGCTGGTCAACTGGTAATTCGAGCAGGCGGAAATACAACATCGTAAGCCTATAGATCTCTTGACATTCATCGCAGCTCGGCATCGTACATGCAGCCCGCGCTCATATCGTAAACGAAACGTCGTCCTCAAGCTAGAGCAGTGGCGAGACGAAACAGACTGCTCCCAGCTCTCGACTCCGAGGAGCGCACAGGACAGCGCAAACTAGCGCATCCATGTTACGGTGATCATGTGAACGCCATTGAGCCAACACCTGGAGGAGAAACTCATGACATAATCGTTCAATTTTGCCCTGAGAAGTAAAAACAAACAAAACGCGAAAATGACGTAGTCTTGCATCTGACGTAGTGGCTCAGTGTTGGCTGCTCCAACCCCGTGGCATTGACTGCGCTGATGATTGCGCCTCATGCCACACGCTCGAGTTGGCAGACTTCGGCGACCTGGCTTATTTCAAAATTTGCTGGCCAGTTTATGAAATATAGAGACGGAATTAGATCGTAATATTTTACATGTGGTCTTCCTATATGATACTGAAGAGGACTGCATAGCTTTCTAAATATCAAAAATGAAGCGGAGTTTCCCTTTAAGCCTCTCGCGACGGCGGAGGACCTGCTCCGCAGCAGCATATCTGATCTTGTGCCGTCGCAAAAGGCTTAAAAACTGGTCTTGTCTCCCTCCTTCCTACTTGGTTGCAAGTGTGTGAACGGCGCTTAATCTTCAGGAAGACGCGTACATGGTTGCCAGTACCGGAACAAACTACCCGCGATGAGTGGGAGGGCAACCTGTGCGGATGATTCGTGCACCATGTGACCTCCGCTCCTGGGCGTGCTACAGGTCGTCGACCTCCTCCTGGAGTCCCTTGCCAGAAGGCTGCCCCACCTGAGGGTGTACAACTACTACGGCGAGCTTGTGGGGCCCTTGTACGAGTCGTCCGGCACACCTTCCCTCGGTGAGAACGGACTGCATGCCTTTGGCGGTGGACGTCTGTCCTCTGCCAGACTTGCGGTTGAGTCAGGCTTACACAGCCATAGCCTTGGGCATTGAACTGTACTCGAGGAGCCAGAGAAAGAGAAGGGGAGGAAGAGAGGAGAGTAAACAAGAGAGGGTGCGCCTTAGTAGAGGGTGGATGGAAAGGGAAATGGTTTTTTAAACATACTTTTGTACACACCACGCCTGCCCCTAGATGGCTAAGCAGTTGAATGGATGCAGGCGGATGGAAGGATGAATACAGCTGGCCCCTTTTAATCAAGTGTTGGATTGTGCCACCTGGCCAGTGTTCTGTGGCGAATAGGCGGCCCCGGTTGCTTTCGCCCGTTTGCTTCCCTTTCTCCCCTTTTTTCTTATATCGCTTTTATCTTATTTTTTTCATGCATTAAAAAAACCTTTAAAAAAAAATAAAACTCTTTTTTTTTTTTAAAGTCTGGTTGGGACACGCGTGTCAAAAAAATTAATTTAACTGGAAAAAAAAAATTTTTTTTTAGAGCAATATTGATGGCACGAGACGCAATTTAGTTGGCAGTCACCTCCATTCCACTTGTTTTCTCTCTCGGCCTTTCGGGCACGTGGAGGAGAGGTGGATCGGCTTTGCCTTCATGACCGAGATGGTCACTCCGGATTGACCCGTGACGTCATGGACTTTGCAGGTAGAATTTCAAATAAATTTCTCGCCATCAATATTGCCCTAAATTTCTTTTTTTTTTTTTCGCTTAACATTTATTTTTTGTTACGTGTGTCCCAATTAGACTGTTTAAAACAAACTTTTTTTTCTTTTCAAGAGCCCTTTAAAGGAGCTGTGCAACAATTTCAGGGCTTTGCTTAAATAATTGTGGAAGTTGATGCCTGACACTTCTGCAGTGAACTACAGAAAACAGATTTTGCCTGGATACCCTAGTTTTTACTTAAAAAAATGAAAAAGATCCAGGTTTTTGCCGCCTCTCAACTCGTGCATCGTCTTCCGGGTCACGTGCACAGTGACGTCACTAGAGTAGGCGCGGAGTTCCGGAAAAGTTCTCTCTTTAGAGCCATCAGCGAGCAGCGAGAACTCATCCGCTCGCGACCGCGTGACCACCCGTCCTTACCCGTCCGGCGCTGTCCCCCTCCTCCTCCGGCTTCTGGCGGCTGTTCGCGGTTTTGTAAACCTAGGATAGATGGCGCCACTAAAACTCCGTATAATAAAAGTTTTGTCGATGATACCAGGGTTTTGACGCATTTATATATATGTTGGAACGACAAGATTTATAAAAAAAGTTACCTTTTATCGAGCAGGTATTCGCACAACTTGCTATCTTTCTTACAACGACCCAAGTGACGTCACGCCGCTTGTTTCTCATGGCCGCCGCTCGTGGCTGCAGGTCGGGAAATATTCCAAGTTTTGCCTCGCTATTACGCGGTGGAATCGCAACATTGCGATGAAAGGAGGTGTGTTTTCTGCCATTTGTAACACAGTGAACAATATCAAAAGCAGAAAATGCCAATTCTTTCAACGTTAAAATCGTTGCACAGCTCCTTTAAGGAAGCAGGTTTATTCACGTAATTCATATTTTATATTTTTGTGAACATGGTAACACAGAAATTTTTGCATTGAATCATTTACATACCATATGGCAGAGCACATGACCGCAGACATACAAATTACTACACTGATTTATATAGCATAAAATTATTTACACACCATGACACAGCAAGAGAGGAAAAAAAATGAGCTCCCTGGTCTCATGAATTTAGGCCCTTGCAAATAAATCTTTAAAAAAACAAGGGTGGGTTAATTAGGCGGTGCATTTGTTTGTAACTATTAGACTTGTTAAGTTGATTAAAAGTTACCTCCAAGGACGACACTTTCCGCAGGCCCCCATTGATTACGTCCTAAGAAATGTCTATAAGCAAGCCAAGTCAAACCAGGATGTTTATCAATGTGCCCTGCAACTTACCGGATGGTACTAAATGCTCCTGCATTGGTTTTGAGATGCATACAGGCGGCATGGCATTTTTTTTTTAAACGCTTCTTGTTGATAAATGCATCCGCCGAAAATTTAGTAGAACAGAGATAGCGCTCTTTTGTTCACTTTTGGTCTTTCGTCTAATTACGTCTGAACCAAAACCATACCTGCGATTTGTTGGGAACAGCAGAAGAGAGACATTGGGTGTCTTAGTAGAATTACTGCACCACTTAGCGGAGCAGCATCGCCTAGGCATTTTCACGCTTGGTTTGCGATGAGCCGAGTTAAACGATGAAAAGGAGACGTACCACCGCGACTCCCTTCACGCAAACCAAAACCAGCGGTCCCGTCCGTCACAACCTCGGTGCATCCGAAACCGTTGAGACAATAACCGTTACTCCCGTAATGCATTACCCTCGCTTCACAGTGCGAAAAGAAGAAAGTGACAAAATGCCACGTTTTGTGGCGGCTAGTTTGTTGGGGCGCTTATAAATGCACGACAGTGCCGGCCTCTAGCAACATTTCTCCGAACTCCGGAAGCTGAATTGGCCTGGTTAAGTGCCACTAGAGTCGCTAGATAAGCTACGCTGCAGAGTAACGACATTTGGGCCAACTTGATGCTTAAAATCACGATTGCCAGTTACTGTGTTCGAAGCTTTGCCCGAAATCGCAGGGAACGCTTTTCTGTCCATCAGAAGTGTTAGAACAGTCAGCGACGGAGAAACGATATCGCCCGACACCGTGCTGAAAGCACGGAAGTCGCATTTTCAAATGATAGCTATTCCCAGTCGCATTCGCTCTGTACTAAGCACTAAAACGGCGGCGCTCGTGAGATAATCGGGGTGTGGAGTTCCGATACTCTGGACTCGTAGTGGTGGCTCTACGTGCCGCGACGAACGTGGTCCCCAAATATGCTTAAGATAACTGGGTGCCACTTTTTTAGAGTTTTGTGTAGCCTAAAAGCTAGAGCTTTGCAGAGTTTAAGTTTCTAATCTGGCTAATTCGTGCGCCATCTCTAGAGCTTTCATGATCCTCGCTTACATGAGACTTCTGAAGAGAAAGGCTGTTTCCCCTGGAGAGTGGAACATAGGCACGTGCAAATGTAGTAGGTTTTGAGTTCAAGGCGAATAGTGGTTTGACCCAGGGATGGGCAAAATACATGCAAATATGTATCGAAATACAAATACAAAATACTTGGTCAAATATGTATTTAATTACAAATCTAATTACATCTCCAAAAAGGCATTTAAGTACAAGATACAAATACAACCAAATGTATTTGGTATCCTCCAAATACTTTTCCAAATACATTCCTCAAAATTTGCGTCAGCGACTTCAGGGCACCTGTAACAGGTTTCCGGGTATCTCATTTTAATTTTGCATCGCACACTCGGGAGTTAGTGTGTGAGGCTCTATTAACGTAATAGAAATATAATCAAAAAATGTAATCAGTTTTTCTTTCTTTTTTTCTTTATTGATACTGTCAATCTCTTGCGAGATCGTAACAGGAGTGGTACATTGAAATACTTTCAAGCAGGATGCACTTGCTGCGACAACAGAAAACAAAAATCGGAATATGTGGTAGCATTTACAACGTCAGGTGGTAGGCTGTTCCAATCGATGATTGTACGAGGAAAGAAGGAGAACTTAAAAGTATCGTTTTTATATTTATATGGCTTTATTGTTCTGCTATGTGTATATCTGGTAGACCTTGGGCAAAAAAAAGTTATATACCTATCTTTCTCTATTCCAAGCTCGTCATTGGCAATAAGGTAAAAAAATTTCAGGCGGTTTATTCTCCTTCTTTCCTGTAGAGTTTCCAGGCCTGCGTCATTACAGAGTTTTGATGGAGATACATATGAGGAGTACATGTTATACACAAAGCGCACTGCTAATCTTTGAATTCGCTCAAGTTCTGATATACAAGATGAGGTATGTGGATCCCAAATGACGCTAGCATATTCCAGCACTGGCCGAACAAGAGTTTTATACAGTAGTAGTTTTGTATCACAGGAGGCCTGCCTCATATACCTACGCAAGAAACCAAGCTTACGCATTGCTTTACTAGCGGTTTGATTGATATGAGCATTCCATTTAAGATCAGACGTTATTGTCAACCCCAGATATTTATATGAACTTACTCTCTGAAGGTTACGGTTCCCAATCGAATAATTAAAAATAATAGGCTCCTTTTTTCGAGTAATTGACATACATACAGTCTTTGATAAATTTAGTGACATTTTCCAGTCATCACACCATCTGGACAATTTTTCTAACGAGGAGCTTAGTACTTCGCAGTCCGCAGAACTTTTGATTTCTCTAAAAATAACGCAATCATCCGCAAACAGTCGGATCTTTACTGGAATTCCAGAAACAATATCATTCACAAATATTAAAAACAACAAAGGCCCCAGGACCGATCCCTGTGGGACGCCAGAGGTTACGTGTGTGGTACCGGAGCATGCGGTGTCAACTTGAACAAACTGCTGTCTCAGAGATAAGTAACTTTCAAGCCACTTCAAGATAGCAGGATTATCTAAAACTGGTGACAGCTTTATCAGTAACTTTTTTGGACGTAATAGGTGAAAAAAGTACAGAGCTTCAAGCAGCTTTTTTTGTCGATTACATTTTGGTATAGACCAACAAAGAACCGAGACGACCAAGACGCGCAGCACTAGCTAGAGAATTTTTTATTGTTGCAACTCGGACCAGTTACGAAAATCAGTACGACCCGCGCATTTAGAATGTTCTAGGCAAAAATATGGTGGGAAATCAAGCTGGAAAGCATCACAAGTTGTCACAGGCACTTATTTAGCCAGTCTGCCTGTGAACGTCGATTTCGTCACTATTCTTGCCCTGGACTAGCACCGTAATCACAAAGTCACTAAACGCTTGTACTTGATTGAGAGACACTGCATTCGGTACAGAACGTAGTTGAACGTAGTTTTCTTCCTGCTCTGGACAGTGACAATAAATTTGAGGGATGTATTTTCGCCCACAAAATTGTATTTAATTACAATTGTATTTGAAATACCCACGTTTTAGTATTTAAATACACACGTCAAATACATTACCCAATTTTTAATTAAATACAAATTCAAAATACACAAAGTATTTGAAATACGTATTTCAAATACTTGTATTTGAAATACTGCCCATCCCTGGTTTGACCATATTCTTTTTAATTGAGTGTCGAATAACTGCTGCGCCTTTCTCCGAGCCTTTCACTATTCTCGCACTATACTTAAACAAAAATTGAGCTGAAGGTTGTTCCCAAGCTATTACCACTTCTTCACTTCTAAGCCTCGTTAATTTTATTTGGATTATTTAAGGATATTGTACCTGAGAAAGTCCAATGCCTATATTGGGGTGGCAAGTACTTAAACTATGTATTTGACATGAAGTTAACCCTGGAGAGATGCCCAACTATACCTGATGACAGGGGTTTATAAAAGGTAAAAGTTATTGCAATGCAAATATTGAAAAAAAAGAAAAAAAAAGGCATGTATGCTAAATGCAGTTTGTCAGGATGCCTAACCACAGTTTAATTTCCAAAACTGCAATGAAAATATCAGCATTCAAAAAGTTTTATTTCTTTTTTAATACATTAGTTGTGCATTATTCCACTTTAAAGGTGTGTTTTTCTCCTAAGCATGCGGCTGTGCTGCGGTGAAGCGTGGTTCGCAGTATTGCGGTGCCAGCTCCGTGCGCTGTTCCTCCACAGTGCACTGGTGCTAAGTATGAAGTGCACTCAACGGGGCTAATTGGCTGCAATTAACACTCTGAAAAGTATGAATGTCACAGTTAATTTCGAAGCAAATATCGAATAGCGTATGATTTGAAATCAATATTACGATATTTTTTACAACACTAATGGGACTTCAGAACGTGCACACTTGGTAGTGTGCACGTTTCGTGCACCATGTTTGGCACCTATTGGCGACTCTAGTGAAATCGATGCCACGTAGCGGCAATGCTGAGAGGCTGAAGAGAGGAGGTTGTTTCGACTCTGTCGTCTGCTCTCGGTGCTCTGTTCTTGTAGGCAGCATAGAAACAAACATTGTTTCCAGTAATTATTCTTATGCTTCCGCCGTGTCATTCCTACCCACTGACTAGAAAAAGTTTTCTACCGTCGAAAAATCACTTTGCTTTCATATGTGACACCGATTTTACGCTGCAGTGCAAAACATTTACGGTGGTCCGCGTTCTGAACGACGAAAATTACCTCTTTTCGTCCGCCATTTTGCCTGACTAGTGCACCCCCTATAGTTGGCTGGGGTTGCGAATAGCCTCTCAAATTTTATAAGGCATTTCAGGTCTTTTTCAGGGGCTCACCCTAGAGCAGCTGCATGATTTGTAACAGTTGATCCTTATTTGATTTACCAAATACTATGAAACCTTTAGTCTAGTTATTTACAGATTGAAAACGTTTCGGGGCTATCTGGTCGTGGCACCACCACTGTGTTACCTCGTTGCAAGCAGACGTATGAGATTATAATGCAGTCAGTTCCAGTCATATGGTAATGTCAGAGCCAGCCTTAGAAAAGGACAGGGCAACAATTCTAAGGTTAAAACATATTTGCAGCCTTCAAGTTTTTTAATGCTTACGCAGCGGAAACTGCAATTCTGTCTCGTAATCGCAGAGGATAGAACGCATTATTTGCTGACCTGCAGTCATGTGTGGCGGTTGTGGAAACCAAGGTGTCCCATCATGGGGTGTATATGGAAGTCAACGAAACCAGTCCCTCTTTGCCGCGTCGTGGCGAGCCGTGTTTTGTCACAATTGCTCGCTGCAACCTTCAACTGTGCCATTTCTCGAAGAGTTGATGGTCGTGTAAAGCGATGCGGGGCCCCGAAGGCAGAACCCAACGCAAAACCAAGGGGTACTCCATTTGGCATCACTCGAAAGACTGTGCAAGAGTTAAAGGGTAATCTGAGCTTGATTTGTTTCGTTCTTCGGAAAAACGAGCAAACGCAAGAGAAAATGATTTTCTCTTCTTCATTTTGTAGGTGACACAGAATAAATCCCACGGTTCATTGACCAAAGTTCAAAAATCGTTGCACCCCCCCTTTGAGTAATTGTAAAAAATGGATTGTGCATCGACAGACAGACGAGTGCCTTTTACTAGTGCTTCAGTTTTGGCAGAACTGCCTGCATTTTTTTTTATTTTGTTTCTCCCGAGTTTTTTTGTAAACCCTCCCAATGCTAACTAGGAGGTACCTCGATTGCAGATATGGAAGCTTCTAAGGACAAAGAAGACAGCGGTGCTGACGACCGCCTGCTACTGCTGTGCTGATGGCTTCACGACCCCGATGGTTTTGTTGGATGTCTTGTTTTTTTGTCCGAGCATTATGTTATACGAATAAAATGAGTCTTTCTGTTTATATCTTTTTTTTGGGTGTTTCATTGTGCCTTGGGTGTTTCATTGTGCCGAAAAATGATTGCCCGGTCATTCACAGCAGAGCATTGTGAAGAACATCCGTCTGGAGCCCTGGACCAGGAGGTCCAGGACTCCAGACGTGGTGTTTTTCTTGCGTGATGTTTTTCTTCTCGAATGGAGAATTCGGAATCTTCTTTGTGCAGCTTGATGGAGCTGCCATCCAAAGTGTTCCATGCTGCATGTTATGTGAACTGAAGGGTAATTCGCACCTTTCAGTCAGTTGCATTCACAGCAACCAAAACGGCGGTGAAAGCCGGAAATCGTTGCTTTCTTCCCACATTGCGCAAGACAAACACTTGTCCTGGTGACTTTGCCATGTCTTTCATTTCGGTCGCCCGAAACGCAACCAACGTGACTGTTTGAACCAGGCATTAAATTGTCATTGGTTGTCTCGAAGCTTTTACGTAACCTTGCGTTGTGTGTTTTCAAAACTGGATTTTCTGATCAAATCCAAAGGAATGATAAAAATGGCAATCATACTTATTTCACAGTACATTTGGCGAAAAACCCATCTTCAAAAAAAGATATAAAAAAAGATGAGACGTTTACAACTCCCTGTAATGCCGAATTAGAGTGCTGCTCTTGAGGAGGAGAAGGGGAGTTCATGGGGAGGAGGGCGTGCCCCCTCCTAATCCCCTCCTTTTCTTCTCTTCCTCCTCCTCTCTTTAGGTATTTCAAATTTGTAATACATTGTGCTTACCAATCTGAGAAAAAAAAGATATATATATATTGTGGTATTCTCGCTCACTGCTTGTCCGGAGAAAGGAAATATAGTTCTCGCATATGGAAGCTCCACTCTTAAGTTCTGCTGGTGCCAGGAAACAGGACAGCAGGAGCAAGGCGGGAGAACGAGATAGTGTTAAGGTAAACACTTTGACGAAGCACGTGATACTCTCGATGTCATCCTACTTGCTCTCGGCTCTGTCGAAGACTGCTCAGCATTTTTGATTTCCTCAGCGTTAGTGTTGAACGTGCACCCCCGAGATGGCACAGCAGAACAGCCAGTGCACGTCCCTCGGGGCCAATGCGATGTTTTCCTGCATGACTGGTATGAGGTTCTTCCTTGTCTTCGACGAAATATTTGGCAAGTGCTGTAGGCAAGAGATACAGAGCTACCACGAGCAAGCCGTTGTCGACCTTGGCGGCACATAATTTGCCAACTTCGACTGACGTGCCACAGATATCGATGGGTAGAGCACAGACCCATACCCATATAGATGGCCACTTAGATAATGAGTACACCACGTTTTCATACGTGCCTCCCTGTGATTTATGAATGGTGAAATCACTTGCCTGCACAACCGAGAGCTGGCATCTCCCCTCCTCTTCCTCCTCCTCTCCTCCCTCCTCTGCCTCCTCCACCTCATGACCCTCACGACGTCACGTGTGATGTCATGATGGGAAACGTCCCGTAATGCAATGCGCGGTTTTGCTGACGGCGACGCCACTCAAGCCAGAAACGGACGCCTAAGAGCTGCACTCTAAAAAAAATGGTTGATGGAATATAGTAGTCGTGGGCAAATAGCGGATTTTGACTGAGGCAAATAGTGATCCTGGATGAATGTCTTCTACTCAAATATAGAATAGTTTTCCCCTCTTTCACTACCGCGCACCATGGCTAAACGAAAATTCGGCTGAACTCGTGAATGTTGTTCCCAACCTTCCACTTCTAAGCTCTGTTAATTGTAGCATAACTAAAGTGTGGCATGTAAACGAGAAATCTTTCGCAGCTATCCTAATCGAAGGGATTTATAAATCTTCTTGCTATATAGAAATATCCTTACTTGTACTTCAAATTTGACCCAAAAAAAAAACATGCACGGATGGTGAACACGCGGGCTGCCAAGACATCATCAACCGTGGCAGGTCGTCCTTCAGCTGTGGTCGACTAGAAGTGGAAGTGTAACGATTTGTAGTTTGAGCGTTGCTGTCGGACCAGGGAGAAAGAGGTTGGGAATGTGGAGATGTGCAGAGTTTATGAAGCCGATCCACAGGTAAAAATATAAGCTAGACTATTTCTTCTTACCTCGACTGCATATCAGTCGAGGTAGGAAGAAAGTGTAATATTTTTACTTGTTCATCAGATGGACGTAACTTTCCACTTTAGTAGAGTGAACGCTGGAGAGGAGGCAAACGCCACTCCAGTGTTCGCTCGGCTAAGAAAGAGGGACGGGAGGACTTTCCCCTGAACATCTGTTGCGAACACGCCTCTGTCAAAGGGGCAGGTGGATACGTCTCAGCTTGCTTAAAATGCAATTTTTTTAGTGCCTTTTGTCTACCGTACTACCCACTACCCGTCTTGCTAGACACATGATGACGCACACAAAAACTTTTTTTTTTTTTAATTCGGGTGCAATTTAGAGCACGATCTCGCTACGGTGCGATCAGTGCGACCAACACGACCAAGCAAGCTCGTGCATATACCACCTTAAAACTGTGCACTCTCAGTCCCTGATCAGTTTTCCATCCTCTCATTTCTGCGTTGCAAAGGCTGGGTTTAACCAGCAGATAATGTTTTCAGTGACGTCGATTGGCCGCCGCCGACGCCGACGCAAAATCACCGCAAGCACCGCTGCCAATGTTGACTGCCGCCTACGACTATGCGGCGCCGCGCGGCCGCTGCGGCCGCGCCGTTCACGCCACAGTGGTCCACGCTGCCAAGGCCGCTGCTGACCGTAGCCAGTCTTGGGCAGTAACTAGTTACTAGTAACGCGTTACCGGTAACTAGTTACTTTCTTCAGTAACTTATAACTGTAATGTGTTACTGCTTAGTGGAAATAACTTGTAACTGTAACATAGTTACTATTTTTCGAGAGTAACTGTAAAAAGTAACGTCGTTACAGTTACTTCTCAGATTTATGGGAACATGACCACCAAATCGCTTTACAACTCGTGAGAGAGTCCCAAGCCCTGGTGCGGGAAGGGCACAGCAAAAACTGCTGCAGAAAACGTCTGGAGCAGGAGGGAAAAAGTAAAAATATAAAGTAACTAAATTTTGTTTGACACTGTACGGCCAAGCTACTCCCACCAACTGGGAGGATGGGGACGCTTGTTTGTGTCCGTACCAGCCATGTATGCCCACAGCGCACGGAGATGTAACAAAGCGCGGCATCTTTAGCATTTCTCTTTTCTTCGTCCCGCGGAGGGAGCGAGTGCTTTTTGTAGACGACAGTTTTTGGTGATGGTCGCCCCAAACGCCCGCAGGCTTACGGGCGTCCTGTTGCCGCCAAGCATACGTTCCCTTCCCCTCTATTTTGAATCGTCCACCTCCCAGATGCACTCTTGCGGGATCTCGACTTCAGGCCCGTTTTCTCTCCCTTCCTTTTTTTTTTACAACCCAATTACCGGCCTTGCCTCCCGTCACCCACTTCTCCCTTCTCGGGTCCTTTCACTTGAGAAAGAGTATCTGCTCGAAACGTCTGTGTCGTTCTGCTTGTTTGTCTGTGTGTTTTTGTAGTTGAAAGACCGCCCTGAGCTGGGACCAGGGGCGCTTGGCATTAGTTGACTTATAGATATTCAAGTCGTGGGCTTTCCGGGTGGTCTCTTCTATTTCGGGTGGTGAGATAGAGGAGCAAGTTCGATCTGGTTAGGAAGCGACGGAGGAAAGGCAACAGCCGTTTGGAATTCCACGCGCAGTGGTCGTTTGTACCTCGATCAGTGCTTATTTTGACGGAGGAATGTAACCGCAACATTGCTCTCCAAGTTTTCAAGAAAAGCTCTGTGTTTCATGAAAGATTCTGAGCACGCGGTTGAAAACGATTTGACCGACGAGTGGATTAGAGTGGCATAAGAAGACATCTACAAAGCTGATTGCAAGGTGGGACATATTATTATTGACTTCACATTTGCACAATTTAAATTGCTTCAGTCCAATTTCGCCTCATCAAAAAAAAATCCGAAATTAGAATTGACCGATTGTAGACGGGCACCATAATCGGATATACACGAGATCTGGGCGCGTGCCGTTGTGTTTGTGTATTTAAAGTTATTTATAGACCAGCTATCTGCTATGCTAAAATTTTGAAAGATTAAAGTCCTCTTTAATTTTTTCCAACCAAGAGACTCCAATTCTTTATCATATAGTGGATTTACTCGGATACTGCCTTAAATTATGATCTGAACTATTCATAGTAAAAATTGAAACAGGAAGAACCAAATATATTAATATACAGTATTTAAGAAAATCTTAGTTTCTCAAAATAATCAGATTCACTAAAGTGAACAACACAATGTCTTATAAGAAATCTATGCTAATTTACTGTAACTGTAACAGGGTTACTTTTTTCACCTGAGTAACTGTAACTGTAACACTGTTACATTTTAGCAGTAACGTGCCCACGACTGACCGTAGCGCATAGAGATCAACGTTCGCCCGTTCAAAATAAAATAGCCATATCCAAATCCAAAGATCCAACATGGCGATCCTCCCCGCTCGTCTCGCTCCTCCTGCTCCCCCCACCGGTTGGTGAACTGGTACGGTCTTCTACGCAATGATGTAGCGGCAGATAACATTCGTTCAAAATGCGAGTAGTCGCCCAAACTTGACGAGGTTTTGGATTCGCTCCGCTCGAGTAGCGCCTCTTTCTCTCCGGACCCCGCATATCCCGAAGGGTCGGATTTTCTCCGCCGTGGACGACGGGCTCCCGACCTAGGGCCCTGGGGTGTCGTCGTCGTCGCCATGGGGGCTCCCTCAAAGGGGCTAGCCGACCTGCCGATCGAGCTCAAGCTGCGCGTGCTCTCGTTCCTGGACCAGCGAGACCTGTGTCGAGTGGCGTGCGTGTCCAGGGAGTTCCGAGAGCTCTCCCAGGACCCCTGCTTGTGGAAACGGGTGGCCATCGAAGGCGACCTGGACGCGCGGGTCGTCGCCCGTCTGCTCGACCGGGCCAGCATGCTCGAGGAGCTGTCTCTGCGGGAGTGCTCTGCCGTGGCGCCCTGGGCGGACCGCGGCTTCGACGGGCTGCGCACGCTTGACCTGGGCTTCTCGGCCGACGTGGACGCCGAGGCAGTGACCCGCTTCGTCGAGCGCTGTCCGTCGCTGACGCACGTGAACTTGGAGGGCTGCGGGGAGGTGGACGACGCGGCCGTGGCGGTACTGTGTCGCCTGCCGCAGCTCACGAGCCTGAACCTGTGCCAGTGCCGGCAGGTGACCGACGACGGGCTCGTGATGATCGCCAGGGAGGCCTGCTCGCTGCGCTCCCTCAACGTGGCCGGCATCGACGGCACCAGCGACAGGTCGGGACTTCCGTATCTCTGACCGGAGCAACAATAGTTTAGATTCGTTTCAGCGTAGCGCGTGGACAGACGCGTATAATTTAGAGCAGTGGTTCTCAAAAGGCGGTCCGTGGAAACATTCTAGGGGTCCGCAAAGTCCTGCCTCATCAATTTTTTTTTTTTTTTTTTTCAGATTGAGAAGGAACGTTCCAATTTTTTTGTGGGTTTTCTCATGTGCATGCCAATGAGAGAGGTATACTTCACACTAGCCCTCAGTGATATTTATTTCTTAAATCTTTATCATAATTAACCTATGCCTTTCCCTTTTCCTCACCACGAACAGGGTCTGCCATTATCTCTGCCATTCCATAAGGGCTCCGCGAAACATGAATTGTTAAGAACCACTGATTTAGAGTGTTAGGTGACTAATCTCGCGATCTGTACTCAACGGGCACCTGCGTAGAAAGCTCAATGGGAGCTACTGTCCTCGACTAGGGATGTCGCGAACCACCCTAGGTTCGATTTCGAAAGGTTTCGATATTTGCGAAGCGAACTGAGATTCGATTTCGAAAAATTTCGATATTTTCGTACCGACCGAGGTTCGATTTCGAAAAATTCGCAACTTTTGTCCACAGCGGAGTTTCGAATTCGAAAATTTCGAAGCTTTCACGGTTTCTAAAATTTCGAATTCAAATATTTCGAATATTTTTTTACTTCAGGTTCGATAAATTCGAAGATTTCGAAATTCTTTGTAAAAAAAAATTGAAAACTTCGAACGCTTCGAATTTTTATAGACATGAAGTTCGAACAATTCGAAGATTTCGAATTTTTTTTTGCATAAAGTTCGAACAGTTCGAAGGTTTCGATTCTCTTTTAACGCTAAACAAAAAAAAAAACAAAAAAAACAAAAAAAAAAAAACTTTGAAGATTTTGAATTTCTTTTTAATCCAAGTTTTCAGAGTTCGAAGTCCGATTTTCAAGTTTTTCCACAGTTTCAGTTTCAAACAACGTTTTCACGACTCAATGGTTTTCACAAAATCAAGTTTAGAAAAGTTAGGGTGTGATATCTAGATTCGGCGAAGTTGGTCAGGCAATTAAATGAGACGACGAGTGTCCCGGACGTGCTAGAATATTTGCCAGTGCAGAATTGTGACCACCAGCCCCGGGGGGGGGGGGGGGGGTTTAATTTGCATCACGCAGTAGTGATTGCACGAACACACTGTTTTACGAGACTCATCCAGTTCGAAACGGCCAGGGGCGAGCAGGAGGTTGAGGCTCAGACAAACCTTGAAGCGACCTGGCAAACTAGCTCGCCACCCCTTGCACGCTAGTAGTAATCCGGTCCGGTGAAGTTTATAATTGTCCTGGAGGTTTATTTTCTGGGACGGAGGAATCGCCTCGCAAAAAGCACAAAAGCCGACACAACTCGAGGTCGAGGAGCGTTCTACCATACAAGTGGCGTCGGAAGAGGAAAAACGGGGGGAAAGAGGGTAGCGGGGGGGGGGGCTTTAGCTTCCTTCTCCCCCTTGCAGGTATTTCGGACTGTCAAAGAAAACAATACGGGGAAAGAGGGCGTGGTCGAGCTTATTTTAATCTGAAATTATTTATGCATATGTATAGCTAATGTCGCTCTTCACTGCATAAAAGGTTGCGTAGATGGTCATTGTTAGAAACTCGTTGTCAGAAGGCACTGCTCGTCACATGCTTAGTGGTTCGGAAGTTCAAAGCTGTCTTTTCGACCTAAACACCTGTGCCGATAGTAACAAAAGAAAAAAAAAAAAAAAGGATAAATACGGGAATAAAAAGCAGGAGAAAAAAAAAACTATCAAGAATTCGTCGGAAGTGTTCTATTCTTGTATATTCAGAGGTTCAGAACTTCGAAACAAGTTTCTTTTACCAAAATGTGTACAGGCTAAAAGAAACACGTCCCAGGAACGCGAAGCGAAAAAAAAAAAATGTTTTCTTTTAATGACGTGCTGAACTTGAACACTACTAGAAATCTTCTCCCATGAGTTAATTTATTCCTTAAGGTGAAAAAACAATAAATATATTATTTTGTATCCTGCAGATGGAAATGATATGTACTGTCTGTGGTGTTAAATTAAATGCGATACCTCAAACAACTTAGACGAAAATAAATATCAAGTTTAGGTCATAATTCCATGCAGATACATGTTTGGACATTTCTTCGAAACTCACGTTGAATAACAATAATCACATCTTAAGACGGCACTTACCTAGGCTATACATAGATCATTCTTAAAAAAGTATAACATATCTACCATGAATAGCTCCGGCTGCAGCGTGCTTCAAATCTGGCACAAACGATAATCGTCAAAAACCCGTCGTCCTTCCTCGCCCCTTCGGGGATTTATTTCTTTAAACCTAAGCATGCCAGAACATTGAAATAAACGACATTGTCTTTCGTAAGGAACGCAGCACCGCGTCTAAAAGTTCGAGAAAAAAAAATATACGAATGTACCCCACCACTTGAAATCAAATGAAACCGTCCGCCGGTCTTTCGAAGTTCGACGAACATCGAACTTTTACCCTAAAAGTTCGAAGTTCGTCGAACTTCTGACTTTTCAGAATTCGAAAGTTCGAAACTTTTCAAATTCTCTCGATAAATAGGTTCGAAAGTTCGAAATTCATCGAATTTTTTGGTCAGTCAAGTTCGAAAGTTCGACAAGCATCGAACCTTGCTGCGCAATAAGTTCGAAAGTTCGAAAAAGATCGAATTTTTTAGCGTAATAAGTTCGACGGTTCGAAAAGCGTCGAACTTCTTAGCTTAACAAGTTCGAAAATTCGACCTCCGTCGAATTTTACGATATAGACAATTCGAAAAATCGAAATCTTTCGAACCTTTCGAACCGCTTGATTCGATTGTCGAAACTTCGATTCAAAAAAAGTTCGCGGCATCCCTATCCTCGACAGATTTCTTTTTATGTTTGTGCATGTGTGTGTGTGTGGGGGGGGGGGGGAAGGGGAGGGAAGGATGTGCATATGCATACAAGAGGTCTACCATGTTGTTCTGGGTGCGGGGGCTTGCCTCTCTTGCTATGCTCATGTCACCAAGCTACACCTGCAACATTTGTATGGCCGTTTGAGGTACTGAAAAAGCATTCAAGGTCCTGATAAAGTATACATTTAACGTCCAGAGAAAGCCCGACTTCACTGTTTGTGAAGGTTCTACCGGCATCACCAAGGTGTTGCCTCATTTTAACCAACCGTAGAACACCGTGCATCCACCCATTCCACGCTAAGTGCCCATTCCCAAATTTTTAAGATTGAGAAAATATGCACTGTACATTTATGTAAAATTCATGACCGGACAAAAGCCCATCCCCTATTTTTTCGCAAATATTTCCCAATTTTGAGTGGGCGTTTGCTCGGTATTTTATGGTAGTACATTTGGGCACCATTTTGCTTCTGTGACAAGGGTGTTCTCCCCGGCGTGTGTGCCATTGCCCGTCCCTTCCATTCAGTACACTGTGCGAACTGGCTCGGGGCCTGTCCGATCGGCTGGAGTCCCTGGAGCTGGACGGAGAACACGTGACCGACGCCGGCCTGGCGCACCTGCAGCAGTGCCACCAACTGACATCGTTCAGCCTGGGCTATGCTGATAGCCTCACGGACGCCAGCATGGACACGATCAAGGCAGGTGGCGCCAGTACCCATTGCAAACCATAAAGAGCCCATATTACGGGGAGTTCCCAACTGCTTGAATGGAGTTATGTGGTTTACGGGCTGGATTTGCAATACGAGCTGCGAGGAGGTGGCAAACGCGTGGGTCGTCTGCTAGCGTCTCCTCCTTTACACCCGCTTCTTAAGGCGATAGATTTACGGGTGCCACTGTGCGCAGATTTCGAGCTTGTGGGCTGTCGTCGCTGTTATCAAAGAATCCTTCTCCCCCCTCTTGGCACAAGAAGAGGGAAGTCGGGTTTCCCGTTGGGCCAAGCAGCACGGAAAGAGAAGAGAGGGGATCCCCGGCATCCTACCAGTAGTGACGTAACGAATGGAGAATCTTTGTGTTATTTGCTTCAAACAGTTGTTTCCAAACATTCCTCGTATTATGCAAAATTCCTTTTTGGCACTCCCCAGTCGCTACGTGTAATGTTGGATGGATTTAGAAACTTCAGCCAAGCTTACCCACTTGGATCACTGGTTACGGTCGCCAGTGGCATCCACGATGTCAACCACGACGGCTATGAGAATTAACTGCATCGCACCTCCATCCTTAGGTATGGGACGGCACCATATCACCTGCATTGCGCGACCGTGCTACAACTATCGCTTTAGTTTCTTCGCACGTTGTGGGCGAAAAATATTACTTTTTTTTCATCACCATGTGACAACGAAAGGTGTGCACATTCGTGACCATTCAAAATTAATTGCGAATGCTCCCCATGTTTCGAGTTGGTCCCTCCCTTAAATCTAGGCTCTTTGTGCAGAGCCTGAGCTCACTGCGCCACCTGACGATCCGGAGGGGACTGTGGCTGGGTGGCGACGCATTGGCAAGCCTGTTCGAGGGCGGGAGCCTCCGGAAGCTGGTCTCCCTGGAACTGGGCAACATGCCGCTGGGGGACAAGGGGCTCAAGGTGCTGGTCGACGGGTGAGCTGCCTCCGCTCTGTGCGCTGCAAGTGGGGCGCAACCCGCCGCATTCGTCGATCTGTGTCGGGTATACGTCGTCGCTCCCGTAGCGTGGTATGGAAGAACTTAGGCACGTGCGAATGTTTGCAGCTTCAAATCATTTTTGAGTAGTGTTTGCTCTTTGATTTAAATCACGGCACACTTTAAAATGTGAACAGTATTCGAGTTCTGCAAATATTCAAATAATTACGAATAAAGGCTCTTTCACACACTTGCTACTGCTTACGACCGAGTAACTTAAAAGATCTCTTACGACCACAGAAAACACTGGCACTATCTATCGGGCAGCCGTAGAACATTTGCTATTACCATATACAGTGTAGACCGCATATAACGTATGTCGCGGGAGTCGCGAAAATCCGCACTATAAGCGGTACCGCGTTATAACCAAAACATTAATTTTGCCCATACCTGCCAACTCTTCCGAATTTTTCGTAAAATGTACGAATTGGGACTAATTTTACGATTTTACGAATCTTGCTTCAAATCTTACGAAAAATATATATATATTTTTTTTTTGTAACTTCGTTGTTGGCGGTTTCTTGCACCGCCACAAGACGGCGATAGGTACCGTCCACAGCAGCGTCGTGGTTTTTACTATCCGTCTATCCGGTGGCCACGGATAAAAGCTCAAAGCCTTTGTTCTTATGTTTGGCGGTGCACAGGTGCACGTTGGTTCGGCGTGTTCAGATGTTGTTGGGCCTCGTTGTTTCGGCCAGTTTGCGGCGAGAAGTACGGCGTCTGTGTTTGTTGCACGTGTAACTGTAGCATTCTCCTGGTCACTTTGGCTTCGCGGCGCAATGCCGAACTCGAAACCTCAAAAGAGGTGCTTTCAGGTGTTCCTGAACTCCTACACATCGAAATTTCCGTGCTTCGTGCCGCCCAAAAAGCGAGAGAAGTTTGGATTGTGTAGCACGTGCACGTGTGATGTAAGCGTTTCGCACGCTGGTTAGGCTGACATTAAGCTGCACATCGCTTCGCGAAACCCCCCCCCCCCCCCCCCCCCTTCCTCCGCCGCCGCCGCCGCAGCCGCGCGACTTTTACGAATTTGAAAGTCCACAGGTTGGCAGGTATGCATGCCATGAGACAACTTACCTTTTTAAAAGAATTTATTTTATCTTAGATGAAAAATTAAGCTTAGTTTGAAAAAAGTCTTTATTTCCCCAGACTAGTACACTTCTCTCTCAAGTGTGTCACACATTTTGAAAGAAATGAGCGAATTTTGCCTGGCACAGCCTTTTAACGGCGTCGCGAGTTGCAGACGGACGTTGCGAGCGTTCAGGATTGCTAACCCTAATCACTTTTCTCCGGTGATGAAAATGCGTGAAAATTCGCCTCCTTTATACGGTACGCGCCAGTAATACCTTCAACTTTAGCACAGGCATGAAATGCTCCAAATAAGAAATCCGCGCGATGTTCGAATACACAAATGCTTAGAAAGCACCACTGTAGTCGAAGTAAACAAACAAGACGACACGGGCGTTTCTGCCGTCTTGAGAGTGCCGCCACGACATCGCCGCACGAGTAAGTGGATCTTCCCTTCTAGTACGTGCTGGGTTATCATAGCGACACACAACGAAAATTCACAGTCAAGAATGGCGCTTTTACGCGGAACGATGAGCTTCCACCACGCCGTCGACGTCGACGATCACAACGACGCCATGTTGGCCATGTTTGCGGATAGAAGAAGCCATCCCATAACCAGCATGCAACGTGCGTGAACACTTCTCCTCGACCTACGATTGGTCTGTCGTTGCGCTTGTTTCCAACGCAGCGGAGGGACGCACGCACGTGAACGACACGTGCGTGCGTCCCTCCGTCGCTATGGCAACTGAAGCCTCTCTCTTTGCTTCTCCCCGCTTCGTCGAGCAACCTCCTTGCCCCGCAAGTGCCGCTTGCGGCTAGCCAGGCTAGCGGCATTATCTAGTGTCGCACAGAGAAGTGTGCTCGCTGCGCCGGTCGGTCGGCGTGGTCAACGCGCTGTTCCAGAAACCGCACTATAACCGGTATTTCCCTTCGCGCGCCTGCATTTTAAGCGGTATGTAATTACATGGAGTTCTATGGGAGGCGAACCAGTGGTTTAAAAAAGCCGCGTTATACCCGGTCCTGCACTATAAGCGGTTACATTGTAAGTGGTCTATACTGTATTTCCTATTTTTTCGCACATCATTCTTTTTTTCTGGGCTTGAAGAACTTTTGACAATTATAAACAATTATTTTTCATAGATAGGTAAGTATGGTACCATATTTGCACGAATATAGCGCGACCACAAATATAATGCGAGGGCAAGGTTTGATGCCCTTGAAAAGAAAAATAAATATAATTACTATTATAACGTAAGCCTGAGGCCACGTAAATTTACCGCACTCTGGGACATAGCGGATGTGAAACGGCAATGGAAATCCAAGAAATATCAGTTTATGTTTTGACTGCACTCATCCTCACTGCTCAGGTCCTTCTGTTTGCAATCCACATGGTGACTTCACAGATATGCAGCAACACGGCACCACTTGTCTGGCAGTTTCTTTTTCTTCGCTTCGGCTTGAGCTCCTCAGGAGCTCACAATCAAAGCAAGACACGAAGCAGAAGCACCACCACACAAACACCAGACCAGTCTGGGGCAGGAACTAAAAAATGTGCAGGCAGAAAAAGGCTGCTGGACCAAATACACGATTACACTATTGTTGTTCTGGTCCCTCCGCACAAGTGAACTGTTGCACGATTGCGTAACCACGGTTGGTGGTCTTGGCTTCGCTTGTGTTGACCTGATTTGGCCTGGCTTGACGTAGCTTGAATTGGCCAGTGCCCGCATTCTCGCGTGGCGCGCTGCACTTCTGCAGCGTGCTTTTCGGCCTGCGTTGTACAAACACAAAAGCGATAGCAATGCTTTTTATGGTTTTTATTCCCCCCTTCACATGACCCAATACTAGCTTATAAATTCCCTCCCACACCCTCACCTCTTTTTCCATCCGATCTCCTGCATTGAGCAGGAGGGTTGACTCTCTCCAAACTCGCGTGCCTCGTGGCTGAACTCAATTCCAAATATGACGCGAGGTGCATTTCGGAGCACATAATTTTGAAAAAAATCTTCCGTTTTATTCGTGCAAGTACAATACATTTGACCTTGCAAATACCGCAAAACCTTGATGTGACCAGTAGGTAGCGCCCCCTCCAGTCCACCCGTCTGTGACTGCCAGGCTCGGCGGGCAACATAGGTCACCGTGCCGAATAAACGCCGTGGAGCGCACGCCACTCCGGTCAGTCATCGTCCACCCTCACAACCAGGCTGCTTGTCGTCTCTTCTCGGCGGGTGCTTCGGCCCCCCTTCGTCCACGTTCTAGAAGGATCGTGACACTGGCGACGAGGATACATACTTGTTACACTTAGCTCTAGTGAAAGGCAGTTTCAGGGCTACTTCATAGATGGCGCCAGCGTGCCAGTCTGTACTCATCGTAAGACATCACAAGAGGTTGCAATGCACTCGGTTGTAAGCAGTCGCAAGTGTGTGAATCAGCCATATCTTCGGAATCCCAAGATCCTCTGATTTCTCGTGCCAAGCTTCGCTGCTTCACACCAGTGCTTCCGTGCCATGCTTTGCCGCTTTCCATCGGCGCGTTGGGAGAAACAGCTAGTGCATCTTGGTTGGGCCGTTGTGCTTGGAAATTGGTCTTGTCATATTACGTCAACCGTCTTTGGCTAAAGTTACAGTTCGACTCCCGACCTTAAAGGGCAGTGCCGGAAAAGAAAACCTCAAGTTATATTCAATGTTTTACCCAACTCATCTTATTTTGGTTTTTTTCTTCCTTAATATAAAAGTGAAACATGACATAAAAAACTCCTTTTTCGTACGTACGCATTCTAGGAGAGATTTCCAGCCGTGATTTCCACGCTCGGTTCACATCAAATGTGAAGTACTACGCATATTACAAAATATTTATAGTCAGTTTGTAGTCAAATTTTAATATTATTCGATTCGCAATCCTAAATTTTATATTCAACCTGACGTAAAGAACAAGCTTCTGCTGCGTCCACGCCGGCTGTCTCACTGTTGCTAAGATCGCGATGATCGGCAACATGATTGAATTCTGACGTGTCTAGCCAATGTCGAGGCAGAAGTCGGGGCGCATTGAACATGCCGATCGGAGACGCGTGCCAGGCGCCGCGACTGCGGTGCCTGGAGCACTTCTCCGACTGGTGTGTTTAACGTGTCCAAAAGGTAGTCCCTGGATTTTCTCTCGAAGAACGTCACGGAAGTGTTACGCTGTCGCCGGTGGCGATCCTGGCAGCATTGCGGCAGCGGCCTGGATGTGGCAGACGCCCGTTTAGCCGCAGTTCGCTCTCCAGCTTCTCAATCCTCAGAAGCTTCAGCAGTTAGGTGTCGTGACGCTGTGACGACGGCGACACTCACGTCTGTTCGTGTTTTTTGCCGGAATTTCTACGAACAGCCATCGGGATTGCGACGTCTGACGGCACGACGCGTCTGCATTTGCGACGTCTGTGGCCACGTCGGGACCATTTTCGACATGTGGGTGGACTCTAAATGCACCAGCCGGAGACGCGTTTTGGCCGCCGTACCCTGACCAGTGCCCCCCGTTGTGCCCAGCTGCCCGTTCTTGGAAGTCCTGTTCCTGGCCAACTGTTGGGACGTCACGGAGGACGGCCTGGCCACCATCGTCGCCCGCTGCAGGTGAGCGCCACGCCAGACATGCAACCGGCCGCGTCCCATCGGCGCCCGCAGCTCGTCTTTAACCTCTGCGTCGCTCCGTTCAAGAATCTACTGACTGTAGAACGACGCGGCAGGAGCTCTGCTGCTCGGGGCATCGAGAAGTATAGAGCGGCGATGGCATTGCTGCCAACTGTTGCCGCGCCGAACACACGGGAAAGACGGGCAAATTTGACTGAAATATGATGTAGATGTTAGTTTGCTTTCCTTATCGACAGCAGATGCATTTCCTCCAATGCGGGGATAGGTTTTACTTGTTCTGCTTTTTACTGGTTGATTTTGTGGCTAGGCCTTGAATTTGACCGATGCATATTTGTCTCAAGGTACCAAGCTATTGCCTGATTTTATTTGTAAATGTCAAACCTTCTCTAAATACACCATGCAAGACAGTGTGTCGGTCCTTAAGGGGTTTTTCCCCCCTCAAGAAACAGTTGCACATACCTTGTAACATTAAATAAGGCCCCTTGCATGTGCCATTGTTTGTCTCACTGCCTCCAGCATGCGGGCTCAAGGGCTGTGATGGTCAACACAAAAGCTAGTGGCTTGCTCCTCAATGTTCCTTCGAGGACAGAAAGTTTCTTTTAGCACCCTGTAATCTGTATACAAAAAGGCACAAAGGATAGTCCTTTGGAGAGAAGTTCTGCAACACCCAACAGGCTCCAGTTTCCCCACATAAAAGCATTAATTGCAACCAAGAACACTTTGCCATTGTCCGTCTCTGCCCTCTATTGCCTCCTCTTTTATTACCGTCTATCCGTGGAAATCTTAAAGGGATAGGACACCAAAAAAAAATGAGGTAACTATATTTCTAGAACTTGTTAGATGTTTGTATTTTTGTGCTCAATTTGTCTTGTAAACGTCGCAAAGGTTTTGTGGGTAAATTCGATTTGATCCCCCCGTGGAACCCTCGGACCTTTTTATTTGGGAAGGTCACCATATTTCCAAAATGGGTAAAATGGTCTCTTCTGCTGTCCCTAGTGATGCGGCGTTGCAGCCGGCACAACTTGACCATCCTTTTGCGTGCACCTGCACGCTTGACCCTCTTGGCATCTCAGCGTTCACCGCTTCAGTTTTCTCATTTGCCTTCCACGTTTTGAGCATGAAACTGGTGACTGCTTACACTTCAGCATCCCAGCACACAACAGATTTTGCACGCTATTTGAAACTGCTTTCACATTCTCCTTCGCAGCCAATACATGCGATTGGAGAGGAAACCGGAGAACCAAGGCTGAGGGATCAGGGTAGCTAGTGAAACAGCCAGGCTCATATGCACGCCAGGTGGAAGCTTAAAAAGTCAAGGGGGTTAGAGTGAAAGTAGCGTCGGAGAAGCCGAGTACTTTGACAGGGTGCGGTCGTGGCGTAGCAAGGTTGAGTGAGCATGGGTAAGCCTGGCATGAGGGAGCATTCGACAACACAATCAGCGCAGGTTAAGGCAGCGTTGCTGCGTGTCATGTACGGCACCACGAACACGGAGCTCGAAATGGGATGCGCTACAAACGTCTGTGTGCAGTGTTTCAGCAAATCTTTATTTACCCGTTGGCTTTGTCTTAAACATTGCACAACCTTACCAATCGTGTTTGCGACATTCTTGTAGAAGTAGCGGTTTCGGGGTGACCTTACTTTGGTGGAGACGGACCTTGACCTTACACTCTGCGGTTACATTCCAAGATATGGGGCGTTCGCTGACCTCACAATCCCTGAATGGGTTACTGTTTGTGTTATCTCGTTGACTTTGTTTTTATTCTCATAACAAACTTTTTTGTGAGCAAAGTTTTATTTTGTTTTCTCCATCATTTTTCTTTCGCATGCATGTACTACGACTTCATGGTCACGGAAATCGGGGAGGAAATGCGTAAACAAAGAGAAGTGTCTTTCCCTCGTTCGGTAGCATTGGGGTGTGTGTGTGTGCGTGTGTGTGTGCGTGCGTGCGCGCGCGTGCGTGCATGCGCGCGCAAAGAAAGACAATGGCGATTACCTTTTTTTTTTTTAATCAATTTTTGTTTTTAAACGTGAGGTGGACAATGACTGTGGGATGACTCAAGATATTACGGTAAAAGAATAATAAAAAATTAAAAAATACTTGCAGTAGGCTGAACATTAAAGAGAAGCAGCAATCCTATGAGCAAATCAGAACATTGAGCTTTCTTTCTTCCATTTAGTTTGCCAGTATCACTACTGCGTGGTGCACGTTAAAGACCCCAGGCTAGCGGTTGTACTGCACTGGCTAAATTGCTCATCTACAGCGTGTGACTCGTCGCAACTTTAATGGCAGACCAACTACACGCTGTATAAATATCCCCACAACCCCAATTATTATTTAGTTTGCCAGTGATGTATTGTCTTGCTGTGAGCAAATGCAAAAGAAAACCAATCTTCACTAACCAAAAAAAGAAATATCAAGACTGTTTTTCTTGAAGTATGGCAAGCACCAATAAAAAGTTGTTGATTAAATTGTTTACAGTGATTGTTTACAGTAATTCTTCTGCATTGTTTTTAGTGATTGAACGGATTGATCAATTTGCTAAGTAGTCACTTTTTCTTCCTACACCGATTTAAATCAAACATGTGTATTTTTAATTTCCTAAGATAAATTGTGTTTTTTGTTCACCCTGCACGAGTATGTAGACTTTATAAGCTTCTGATGAGCCTTCCATGCACTGTTAAGCCTTGTTTTGCAATTTTTTTCTAGCCTCGAACCCAGTTTCTTCAAGTTCTTGATGCTGTACAATAGGTGGCCAGCTGCAGTGTGCAAATCTTCAATTGTCAGTGGTTTAAGCTCGATCTACCCACTCAGACGCTCGGCGTGTTGGTGGGCCTGAAGGGACGACAGTGGTTTAAGCTTGATCTACCCACTCAGACCCTCGGCCTGTTGGTGGGCCTGAAGGGACGACATGCGGCATCTGCCGGCAGGAACCTGACGGACCTGGACCTGCGGGGCCTGTACAAGGTGACTGGGTCGTCTCTCCGCAAGATGCCCCCGTGCCTGCCCCGCCTGCGGAGGCTCGGCCTGGAGAGGTGCTGCCAGGTGGGCCCAAACAGACCGCCCTCAACTATGTTGTTGGGGTCTGCTTGAAGTTGAGAAACGTCAGATTGGTGAGATAAGTTGTAAGGAGCTGTCACTAGACAAGCAAATCGTCAAGACAAACAAGGGCTACTACTTCTTCCTTATAAAATGGAAACAATGGAGGACCAATTACTGTGCCTTACGGTAGACGAGGGTCAACAGATTCCAAGAACACGGAGCATATCTCTCACATTCGTGGCCCTCCCCACAGGCAGGTGTTTGCAGCAGTGTGTTCTGTCTCGCTTCTTTATACAGCAGTCTCACAATCATTCAAACTCGGATATTTCATACTTCTGCTTACTTCAAACAAATTTGAAATTTTGGTTGTCCCGCTATGCTTTTAATGTATTCATAAGACGCTAAATTCGAACGGCGTTTTCGTCCAATTCATACTTTTTGTTCTCGCGGCTGCGCTAAGTGCACTTTTTTCCGAGCAACGGCGCACTGTAAAGACGCAATACCCGCGAAGCTTGCTGCTGCAAGTGTTGCTTCTCCGCGGTGCACCGGTGCTTGGTGAGAAGCGCACTCAATGGGGCTCACGCGGGCACACACGAGCTATGAAAACGGGCACCACGCCAAAATTTCCATAGCAACTCGCGCGGACGTTGTGACGTGGCGGCATGGCATAGGTCCACGTAACAGCATCTGCGCAAGTTGCTACGAAAGCCGCCGCGCAGTGCCCGTTTTGATTGCTCATGTGTCCCCTGCTTCACTGTCCGCATTAGACAACTACTTAGGCTGATGAACAAACTTAATTTTGTTTTGAGTTGTCATGTGCTGTCTAAACAGTTCATAATGAAGAACATTTTTGGCGGATAAATAAACTTATGTCATAAATTTCACAAATGTTTAATCTGTGGCATACTTCCTTATGATCAGTAGGCCTATGCAGAGGAAATCATCAAATATCTGCTTTGTATGTGTAGCCATTAAAACTCTTTTGTGAGAAATAAAATTTATATTCCGGAACAAAAGTCCAAAATCGCTGTCGGTCACAAGCACGTTTCAATATTTGTGTGAAGTTGGCATTTTGGAGGGAAGTAGAACACTTAACTGCTGTGGCCATTGTCTTAATACTTTATGTGCAAAGACCGCACATGCAATGAAAGGAGTAAAAAAATGTATGTTTCTTACAATGCCCATTATTTTGTAATAAAGAATCGCAAACTTGACACATATTCAAAATTGTTCCAATTCTGTGCTTGTTAGAACTTAGTCGACATCTATAAGGACTGGAAACGTGAAATTTTTAATGTAATTATGAAGCATCTGTTGAATATTCATGCAAACCTTCATGCAAAGTGAAAACTCGCATCCTTCCCAAAACGTTACTCAAACATAGGCAGTTTACTCATTTTGCCATATCTTGAAAATCATTTGATAAAGAAGGCCATCTTCAATATGCTTTAATTTTCACAAATTAAAGTCTACAATGTACCCTTTAGGCCCTTTGAAAACATCTTGCACTATTTTTATATTTTTTTATTTTATGAAACATCAAATGTGACTGAATTAACAGAACTGCCGTTATTGGAGCTGAGAAAGATGCAGACGCTGCCGATATTAGAAAAGTGGTCAAAGAATAATCTAAGTTTGTGAACAGACAGTACAGTGGCAACTGCAATATAAAAAGTACAAGCGCTTATATTTGGGACAATAAAGAGACTGTTCTTGTTCACAAAAGCCGGTGTGGGAACGAACTTCAGAGGCTTTGCTTGCAGTTGTCTGTTCATTAAACCGAGAGTTTATGGCGGTAAATGCTCATCAAGTGTTCATCATGTGCATTTTGATTACATCAAAGAATTTCAGGTTTCCAAAACTTCTAGATGTGGACAAACAAAGCTTTGAATTTGGACAATTTTGCAATTATGTGCCACATTTCAGATCTTTTATTACAACATAATGGCGCTTCCTAAAAAATGGGAAATATTTGGTTCATTTTATTTAATGTGCAGAGCCACCACAGTTTGTATTTTATAACTAGTAAAATTGCCGACTTCGAACAAGTTCCAAGATGCGCACAAGACCGACGGCTACTTCGGGATTTTTGTTCCGGAATATAAATATTATTTTTTGACAAGAAAAAGTATGGAGATGTTTTTCTAGTTGCACAAACAACGAAATACAGTAGGCTCGCGATAATTAAAGCTAGGATATTTTATACTTCTGGTTAATTCAAACAAGTTTCAAAATATTGGTTCTCCCGTTATGTTTTAAATGTATTCACAAGTCGCTTAATTCGAACGGTGTTTTCGTGCAAATAATACTTTTTGTTCCTGCAGCCCCGTTGAGCGCGCTTCTTCCTGAGCACTGGTGCACTGCAGAGAAGCAACACGGACGTAAGCAAGTTGCCTCTGCGCAGTGCACCGGTGCTCGGTGAGAAGTGCACTCGGTGGGGCTCAAGCGGGGCACAGATAAGCTATGAAAACGGCACCTTGCAGAAATTTCCACAGCAACTTGTACGAATGATGTGACATGGCAGCATGGCATATGTCCACGTCACAGCGTCCGCGCAAGTTGCTATGAAAACTGCCGCTCGATGCCCGTTTTCATCGCTCATCTGTTTCTTGCTTAATAATTCATATTAGACAACTTCTTGGCCTGGTGAACAAACTTAATTTTGTTTTGAGTTGTCATGTGCTGTCTAAACAGTTCACAAAAGACAATATTTTTGAAGGGCGAATAAAACTTGTCATACATGTTACAAATGTTTCATGTGGAGCATACCTGCTTTTGACCAATAGGCCTACTATGTGGAGAAAATCATCAAATATCTGCTTTGTATGTGTAGCCAGCCATTCATATGGCAAATCATAATTTTATCTTGCATCATATTTAGTTTAATTTCTGATAATTCAAACTTATGATAATTCAAACTTATGATAATTTAAATAAAATTTGTTGCTTCCTGGAATTTGAATTAATGAGAGGCTCTTGTATATTTTTCTTGCAAGAATTAAAAATGTTGACCGTACACAGTTGTTCGATCTTGTTTCAAAATGCCATCTTCAGTTCTCTCATCCCTTTCCTTCTTTCGTAGAAACAAATCTTTCGCTGCTCGAGGGAAATCTCCTAACTGTTGCCTCTGGTGCATCTTTTTTATCTCTCCAAGGAACTGCCCACCTGCCGTTTTCCTTTAACGCGTCAAAATGCGTAGCAAAAGTGAGGAAGTACACGGAATTTGAGAGCATCTTACGCCAGGCAGACCCGAAAGACCTCTGGGCCGGTGCCGACCTGGGCCGCACAATTGCAACCGCATCTGCGCAGGTACCCGACGGACTGCCGAGTTACCTTGCTGGACGGGTCCCGGGCCTGATGGTGTACGGCTTCGACGGCAGCCTGGCCCTGGCTCGGCCCGACATGGAGGACCCGTTCGTGAGCGAGGAGGAGCCGGAAGACACGTCCTCAGAGGAGGGCCCGGGGGACGTCCAGGGGCCCGGCGAGGGGGCCCCCACTCCGGGGCAAAGAGAGGAGCAGAACGCCGCAAAGAGTAAGTGCCGACGTCGCCTATCTTGAGAGAAGAAATGAGAAAGAGAGGGGCTGAAAAGCAGGAAAATAAAGCAGACGGTAATTTAGGCCTGTTCATTTTGCCGTGACAAGGAAGTTGTTGTAGTGCTCATCTGCTTTATTTATTTTTTTTACTATGCAAACTCTGATGATTTTGTTCGAAAGAAAGCAAGAAGAACACTAGATACTGATCTTGCAAGTGATGGTTTTCTGCCTCTTTGTGTTCCGAAAGAATGCCCACCCAAAATGAAGAGGTAAATGGTGAAAAACACAGGGTGGGCTATCTTTGGGGATGACAAAGCAAAACATTATCAAAAATTAATGATAAACGCAAGACACCCGCTACAAACTATGTGACGCAGGAACTGATTCTCCAGATTGCGGACACCGCAAATTCGCATTTCACGATGCAATAAACACATGGGAATTCGCTACAAACTCCTGTGTCGCGTGAAAGGATACCTCAGATTGCAGACGCAGCAGAGTCGCATTTTACCGTGCGAAGGACCCGCTGAAACCCTCTGAGAACTCGCATCTCACAGGAATGAATACCGCAAATCATAGACACAGCAGCTTCAAGTTCTATAGTGCAATAAACACACGGGAACCCGCTACAAACTTGCCTGTCACGGGAGCCGTTATCGCGCGCGCAGATCGCGGACAAAAACGTGGGAATCCGCTACAAACTCGTATGTCACGGGAAGGAATACCACAGATCGTGGACACAGCAGAATTCTATTCCACAATGCAATATACACGCGGGACCAACTCGCGTGTTATGGGAATCGATATCGCGCGCACTGGTCGCGGACCAAAAATGCGGGAATCCGCTACAAACTCGTGAATACCACAGATCGCCGACACAGCAGAATTCTATTCCACAATGCAATATACACGCGGGACCAACTCGCGTGTTATGGGAATCGATATCGCGCGCACAGGTCGCGGACCAAAAACGCGGGAATCCGCTACAATCTCGTACGTCACGGGAAGGAACACCACAGATCGCGGACACAGCAGAATTCTATTCCACAATGCAATATGCACGCGGGACCAACTTGCGTGTTATGGGAATCTATATCGCGCGAACAGGTCGCGGACCAAAAACGCGGGAATCCGCTACAAACTCGTATGTCACGGGAAGGAATACCACAGATCGCGGACACAGCAGAATCCTATTCCACATTGCAATATACACGCGGAACCAACTTGCGTGTTATGGGAATTGATATCGCGCGCACAGGTCGTGGACCAAAAACATGGGAATCCGCTACAAACTCGTATGTCACGGGAAGGAATACCACAGATCGCGGACACAGCAGAATCCCATTCCACATTGCAATATACACGCGGGACCAACTCGCGTGTTATGGGAATCGATATTGTGCGCACAGGTCGCTGACCAAAAACGCGGGAATCCGCTACAAACTCGTATGTCACGGGAAGAATACCACAGATCTCGGACACAGCAGAATCCTATTTCACATTGCAATATACACGCGGGACCAACTCGCGTGTTATGGGAATTGATATCGCGCGCACAGGTCGCGGACCAAAAACGTGGGAATCCGCTACAAAGTCTCATGTCACGGGAGCGGATACCACAGATTGCGAACGCAGCAGATTCGTATTTGATGATGCAATTAACACGCAGGAACAACTCGCGTGTAACGGGAGCCGATATCACATGAGCAAACGGCTGAAAAAAAACCAGGAAATCCGCTATGAACTCGCTTATCAGACGCACAGGTGTATCAAATCGTTCAACGGATACAATTCTCGTCGGACATCGCGTGACGTCCGACTGGAATGGGGGGGGGGGGGGGGGGGGGGGGGTAAGTGATGTTTCGGAATTGTTATGTTACAGATATTTATTCAGAAAAACGGGATGGGCGATCTCTCGGGGGCGGACGTTCTCTCAAAGCTTTACGGTATATCATTGTGGTCAGGGCCGTACCCAGAAAAAAATTTCGGGGGGGTGTTTTCGGGGACAACGGCGGCCATTTTGAAAGTGTCTATTGTCTTATTTTCACCTATGAATCATGTGCATCGGTGGCATATAATGGAGAATTACAGCAAACCGGAAACCGGTCCCGGTTTGGTACCCGGTAGCCGACCGGCGCCACTGCGCGTGCGCAGAGGTGGAGATTAAAATCGGCTGGCTTCCAGTGCACCGACCAGGGCCGTACCCAGAAAAATATTTCGGGGGGGGGGGGGGGTCAGAACCCCCTAACCCCCCCCCCCCTGGTTACGGCCCTGATTGTGGTCCCACCGGGACCACTGACGTTCGCGTCTATGCCCCGCCGTTCCAAAGTGGCTGAAATATGTGGAACCTTTCCTTCTAGACCATTATATTAATGAACAAAAAGTAAGGGCGCAAACGAGCTGGTGTACATTGCACATGGTTGAAAAACCCCGAGACTGCGGGTAAACGACACAACACTAAAAAGTCTCTAACACAGCTGAAATTTTTATTTTCCGAAATCTGGTTATATAGGCACTTCGATACAAAAGAACAAAAGGGGGGTAGAGGGTGAGAACCCCAAAGAATGCCACTTTCCACCAATGTAACCTTTGACTAAATACAAGGACAACGGACTCTGCGTCATGCACCTCTCTTATCTTTGACTCTTATCTACCCGACCGCCAAACACACTGGAAAGCCTAAGCCCATTAACACACACAACACACGCACAAAAAACAAACGACTCAACGTTTTTTCTACCCGAAAACCTCAAACTGCTCTGCTCTTACTAAGCATTGCCTCGCACTTTGCAAAACTTCTTTCGACGTCACACAATGTTCGATGTATAAAAGTGAGGCATGAAGCTTTTTGTGGGCTAAGCTCTTTTTTTTGGACAGAGTTTGTCTTTTCTATAAGTGCACATTTTAACTTTTGCAGAGTTGCACACTCAATTTTTTTAGCAGTTTCTTTATTCTATTGGTGGCAGTAGTGCCCCACTTGTCCCTTCAAAGTCTTTCTCCTACATTGTGCACTCTAGAGCAGAGTAGGTGGTTGCAGACTCCACTCATGTGTATAAGAAAAAAAAAAATGTAAAAATAGCACTGTTTTTGAAAAGTAAACGGATAAAAAATACCTATAAATTAACACAATCTTGGCAAAAGATATTTAAAAAAATGGCAATTTCTGAGGGCAATTTGAGAAAAGGCATGCACACATCAGAGCTATGAATTTAGGCATTTATAGGAAAATGCCTAAAGTCACGAACCCTAGTCATTAGTCTAAAGTGTGGTTCGTTTAGCGGCTCTAGGGCAAACCCTCGCGGTTGCACTGAGGAGCGGAAAATGTCGCGGCAACGTACACCAAGCTCTAACGCGCGTGACCGATTTCTTGCCCCCAACAAATCAGTTACGTAGAAACTAGATTGATTCTATGCTTCGTTTCACCTTCAGGCTGGAGTGTGGTCAACTGCGGTGCTACCGTTAGCTCTTACAACGAGAGCAGGCATTGGTGGCGTCTATCGGGTGACACTGAAACACCTCTAGTATGCGTATATTTTAGACCTCCTTCACTCTGTGCTCGAAATAATTCCAAGTATGTTATAGGCAACCATTTCGCATGGTTCATACGCAGATCGGTAAGATCTCAGGTCTACTTCATAGGTGGCCCCCCCGTGTGCCAGTGTCTTCTCTCGTCGTAAGTGGCTACTAGCAGTTGCAACGTGGCCGATCGCAACCAAACACAAGTGCGCAAACTAGCCTTTATGATCAACCAAATTCTTCGCTGTGAATGTATCGAGCGACCCTGCAGCCCTCTCAAAGATCATGCGACTTGCTCGGTATTGAATTGGCTTCGATGGTTTATACGTTTTGCTGCAGTCTGTCGTAAAGTGAAATGAAGTGTACTGGTAGGTAGCGGCATGCCGCCGGTGGTGGGAAAGGGAGGGAATGCAGCACCGCGTGCGCTACCACTTTCTCGAGGCGCGTATCACGGGAGGGATTGCCAGTTTTGAAAGCATTGTGAAAGAGACTGGAAGTGGCGTAGCAATCTCCGAGTCTGGCTGGGCTTGGAGGTTGATGGTTGGCGGCCGCCTTCCTGCACAAGCAAAGCCACGGGATTTGTTCAGTTCTGGGGGTTCAAAATTGCCTGCACGTGCATTCTGTACCAGCGGTGTCACGTCTCACAACATTACAGTGGGTAGTTTTGCTGTACAACATAACACTTTCAAGCACGCCATGTTTTTGGTTTTTTTTCAGCTCCGGACGGCAAAGTTTTAGACTTGGAAGAGGAGCAGCCGCACCAGTACGACCTGTTCTTGACGCAGCCATGCACCAGTCTGTACTAGTCACCATAGTCAGACACAGGTTAAGAATGTGCCAGAAGCTCCCCCCACACCCCCATTACCACCAGCTGGTGTTCTACCTCAACGCACAAATAATCCGCTACAGAGCCGGACATTGTGCCAACGTCTGTGGGGATTGGTCCATACTGCTCATTCGCAAGAAGAGCAAGACAGGCTGGACACAGAAAAAGCACACCTTTATTCGAGCAGGCCGAGCAATTGTCCTCGAGCTTCCTGCGCCGTCGTCTTTCTCTTCCACAAGCCCACGTCACTGAACTCGTCATGGCTACTGCCTTTCCTGGTTGTTCTGCGAAGCGATTTGATGCCATGGCTAGCACGAGGTATTTTTTTGGCACATTCTCAACTTGTCCCCGGCTATACCCACAGATTTGTGCCGGCCGCTTCTCCCAGGCAGACATGAGTGTCAATTTGAATGAGATGTTACAATAAAGTTGTTGTTTAATCGTTGGCATGGTCACTGGCAGCCTGATTTCAGGTCGCCAATTTCTCATTTTTCCCGGATATATGCAACACTTTGGTCGCCTTGCATTACTTCTGCATTATTCCTGGATATGTGGCTCCGCTGTTCTAAAATTGTTAAACTTGTTCAACACCTATTTCTTGAACTATGAAGTGCTCCCTATTCCCTGCATACCCTGACCATTCCTTAAAGGGATACTACCATTATAGGGATACTAAACCAAGGAATTTAGTGTCCATAATAAGTGGCGCACATTCTTTTCACGAGCCAGCAGCCGCCGGTGTGCGCGAGCACACGCAACAAAAATGACATCAAAGACCCCCATTCGCGGTTAAGATGAGAGTGAAATGTATGGGCTTCGGGCCAAAGGAGAATAAAGACAATTTTTTCATCTACACAGTGGTGTCTGGTGTAAAAGGTAAGCGATTAATTGGTCTAACAAGACCGTAGCTTTCACTTGCAGAGATGAAAAGCCTGTCTTTACTTTCTTTTGGCCCAAGCCCACACATTTCACTGTCATCTTAACTGCGAATGGAGGTCTTTGACGTCATGTTTGTTGCCTGTGCTCGCGCACACCGGCGGCGGCTGGCTCGTGGAAAGAATGCGCGCCACTTATTATGGGCACTAAATTCTTTCGTTCAGTATCCCTTTAAGCCCAGGACCAAAGACGTCACATTTTGCGCGCTTTCGGTACCGTGGTTTGCCCTCGTCGGTGAAGGATTTTTCCGCATCGTCCGGTTAAAATTTGACGCACTGATATTTAGTTACTTTTTCCGTGCCCGCTGGCTTACCCGAACCCCAAGAGACCTGGAAACCGCAAAAAATGTGGACACTTAGATATGATTGCGGGGGCCCCTACAAGATTACAGAAGATTAACCCGTCACTCAAAATTCGTACAAAAGCAGCCGCTTTGGTGGCTGGAACGACTAGGCCATCCTCTCGACGTCAGCCTCGCTGTAGCTTTGCTCGTCCTAAGACGACCTACGTCACGATTGCGTTGGATGTCACGTGGTCTCCGCTGGGCCTTCTCCGAGCGCTTGCCAGAGTGGGCCGTTTATAACGAAAAATACAGCCACCAGGCTCAAAATACAAATGTGTGATTGTCATTTACGGATACTGTGGATCATATTCAACCTATTTTTTAACACGACGGGTATATCTCAAATTTCGTTGAAGTATCCCTTTAAGTGTCTATCTTTTTTTGCAGATTTCCACGTCCCTTGTGGTTCGGGCAACTGAGCAGGCACGGAGAGAATAACTAAATATCGGTGCGTCATATTTTAACCGGACGACGCGGAAACCTACTTCCCCTGCGGGGGCGCCCCGTGGTGTCGAACGTGCGCGGCATGTGACGAAATCGTGACGTTGGTCCTGGTCAGTTGAGGAGAGAGCTCTCCTCGGCCCCACCTCCTTTCCCCGTCTTCCCCTTCCTCCCCACATTCCTCAGTCTCTGCGGTCCGGGGGCGGAAACAGGACCAAGGAGATCATGAAGGGGGTTAAAAAGTCGTTGAAGGGCTGTAAGAAAAAAAATTTAATGTTTTCTCGTTTTATTTTGGGTGTATTCGGCTTGTCGGAAATATTTAATATAAGGACATTACGGACCAGCGCTACGAGTGCTGCGCTGAGGACTCGTTGCTGCTGCGCCACAGCGGAAGCAAAATGATCTAATAACGTTGAGCGGAAGCACGTCGTAGCGGAAATAATAAAAGGAAAAAATTTACTTCGCAGCTCGCATGTTTCCGGACGCTCGCAGTAGCATAGACATCACTTCAACACTTTTTGTTTTTTGCGGCTAATGGAGGCGGAAAAGTGTTTCCGCTCGGGAGCAGGCAGGCAACCCTCTCCCACTCTCCTGCGGGCGAGCTCTCGAGCAGCTCTGGCATCTCTGTAGGCCTACGGCGTCTTCGGTCGCTCCCTCGGATTACTCGGGCGGTGCTTCGCTCCTGGCCGAGCCATGGCGTTCTTGGGCTCCCTGATGAGAGATCTGGACAGCGACCCGTTCTTTGGGTGAGTCCAACATTCCCCGCGCTGTGCCTCCAGTCATTCCGCGCGGTGCCTCGTCCCAAGGGCGGGAGGCGTCCGCGCAGTCGTCGCGTGTCGTCTGCAATCGGACCCTGCATGGACGTCAACAAAGCTCTCTGTCTCGGCACCCCACGCAACCTTCGCCCGCTTTATTTTTTCCCCCGACGACACTATGTTGGCGGCCTACGCGCGCACGCGCTTCGAGAAGCGGTAGGCGAAGGGCGCCCAGTCTTCCCCAACCTTGCCAGGGCCGCGCACGCGAGCCGAGCGACTCATCGGCCCGCGGGCGTTTCGTGCGTCCGGTCTCGTAGCCTGGCTGCAGCTGACCGTGGGCAGAAGTGATTCTGCACCGCCGTTCGCTTGACCTTTGTACGAATCGTCACCGCGACGACTACGATCTCGGCCCGAAAAACTTGCCTCAACGTCGATTCGTGGACAACTGCGACAACAGTCCTGATCGTGGAGAGCCTCACCGATGCTCCGGCTGACTTTAGGTTGATCCACCGGGCCGATGAACGGCTTATCGCGCTAACCCCATCTTATCGGATGGGATGAGCTTTTTGATGCCTTCCTGCAAAGGCATGAGCGCGTGTGAATGCTCTCTGAAACGATCCTGTCATCTCGCCGCGGGCGACGCTGAGGGGAAAAAAAAAAGAAAGGGAAAAGAACGTGCGTTTCTTGATCTTGTTCCATGAGCCAATTCAACGGATGCTAAAAAGTCGGGCAGCGGATCGTCCGTTTTAGAATTCCAGTGCGTAGCACGAAGACGCGTTCGGATTTGTGAATGGTGCCCTTGCGTAATGGGGCGCTCTCGGCGAGCTCTTCGTTTTCCCGGAAAGCCGGACACTCTGGGGCAGGCGAGCGGTGGCCTCGCGCGCGCCGGCTATCAAACGGGGTCGATGAGGCGAGTTGCGGTGGCAAGCGAGCGATGCAAAAAAACGACGGACCGCGCCCCTGGCCCGGGCAGTGACACCCGGCCAGCTGTGCTCCCGGGCGCCTGCGGTGCTGCAGGTGCAGTCGACAAGAGTCCATGGGACGCGGAGCAGGCGTGCGGTAGTTCGCGTGCGACTCTGTTTGTTCCTTGACCGAAATCAACCCGCGCCATGCGGACGCCAACCCGCACTTCTTAGACTTTGGTACCAAACAAAACTCGCAATGTTTAAAGTTGGGTACACCAGACTCGCAATTTTCTTAAAAATAGGTATACACCAAACTCACTGTTTTCTGGATGTCAAACAGCAAACGCTACATTTACTTGCCGTTACAAATGACAATTCTTTTTTGATTTTGGGGGGGGGGGGGGGGGGGGGGGGGGCATAAAATGCTTTCTCTAATAACATCCGCCTTCCGTATAAAAAAGAAACAAAGGTTACTGCTGCACAGTTGGGAAACTACCCAGTTGATTTCGTTTCTCGGTCCAGCTGCGTTCGTTTTGTGAAGACCACGCTCCCCCTTCGATACACCTCTCTCTCCAGCTGCAACGCCGGGAATACTTGCGTGCTAACCCGGCATTGGCTGTGACGTAAGCATTTCATGACTTTTGTGGCTGGGAATTTACTTAGGCCGAGGCTACATCCACGCGCGGGGACGTAGCCAAGTCGGGAGGAGATAAGGCTCCATCCACGCAAAAGGTCACGTGACTTATAATATAAAGAGATAATTTGTTTTTATGTACATATTATGCTTTGTTATAAGTAAATATAGGATATAAAAATAATGAGATTGCATTTCATTGTTTTAAAGTTAATATGTCACGTGACCTTACAAATTTTTAGACAGTTCTTCAATTGTTTACTGTTTTCTAAGACTAATAGCAAATATCATGCATCATAAAAATAGTACCAATATATTTCTTTATAGTTATGTTGTCTAGGAGTCACACACACGTGTGGGCGGCGTGCATGCCATCCGTGCGTGCGGCGGTGCGGGTGCGGCTTCTGGGGCCTTCGCCCATGTGTGCATCGCTGCTGAGGCGAGGCGGAGAGGCTTCGTCGTGTGTGTGGTTGGCTTGGTTCGAAGCGTTCTAATGTGAGCTTATGTGTATCGAAGGGACAAGTACGTGCCCACCGCTTCGTACGTTCTTGACTTGCGCGCACGCTCGCAGTTACACAAAGATTGTGAGAAAATGGAAGACGTGCATTAGTCCCATTAATAACAAACATACTGAGAGCATTTAATCGAGAAAACTAGGTAAAAGATTCCAGAAACAGTTTATTTCATGACAAATAAAACAGTAGCCGATGCGCAGATGCCACTCGTCCACGAGATCACCGATGAACACGAAGCCCTTCTTGCGGCAGAACTCCTGCAGGAGCCAGTTCACGTCTGTTCTCCCGCCTCGGAAGGGCGGAAGAAAAGGCGATCTGCATCGTCGATTGCGTTCCAAGATCTGAGCGGCCAGCCGACGATACTTGTCAACGTACGCGCTGGCACAAATGCTGGTGTTGTTTGTGCCAAAATCGAGCAGGGCGTCAGACACCTTGGAAAACAAAGCCTCGATCCTATTGCCACTAAACGCTCGCACTTCAACAGCCACCCGGTTATTCGATGGGAAATACCAGGACACGTATTTCACCGCCGAACCCCCGGCAACCAAGACTTGAGGCAGATCAGAAGCGCGACCGTGCTAATACTCAAACGGCCAAACTCCTTGTCCAAGAAAACAGAAAGAAAAAAAAAAAAAAACGCTTCAGAGAAAGTTAAACCCGCTTGCGGAAGACCAGGCAGGCGCAGTAGACAGTACTCCGCGCACGGCAGGAACGCAAGGTGCAATGGCCGCCGAGCAGATGGAAAAACAATGGGAGGCTAGGCCGGAAGTTGATCGAAGTGCGCCGGAAGTGACGTATTGCGTGGATGGAGCCTTATCTCCTCCCGACGTGGCTACATCCCCGCGCGTGGATGTAGACACTCCCATTCATTTAAAGTTTCTTTCCGCGTCCCTTTCTTACTACAGCGTATTCCCCAAATAGGTTTCTTTGTTGTTTGCTTTCTGCTGCCAAGTTAAATTATCGCCGAACGCTCATTTTCGCCCAAATGTAACGGTCCGAACCAGATGTCAAAATTGCTAAACTAACCGTTATCTAAACAAAAAAAGAACAAAAAAAAATGTAGCGCCCATTTACTTTACCTGAAGATAGAGGACTAGCGAAGCTAACATCGATACGATTTACATATGATTGCAATGTTGTTGCAATCATATGTAAATCTTCGTTGTTTAATTTATTTATTTCCGATTTAGCCCAAGTCTCTTTATCGGCATCGCGGAAGCGAAAGAAAAGAAAGTTAGATCGGCGCGTTCTGCCCTCAGCCTCGTCACAGAGCACTCCTAGCTGAGATAAGTCGGTGATCGTAGATGATAAAACAGTTGATCAGTACCTGCACTATCTAATAATGCCTAGGAAGGCTGACTCACGCGGGTTTCCCCGTCTTTTTATTTGTACCAGCCACGACCAATCGGAACGAAGGGGCGCCGTTTAAACGGAAGTTTTTTTGTTAACATCCATGGACGCATTTTTTTTTTTTTCCCCAGATCCTAGCACATAAGTTTCGCCGAAAAACATAATTATACGTGATCTTTTTTTTTTAAATTTTAATGGAAAAATGACACCCGTTTTCTGGAACTGGCACCATTCAGCTCCATGCGGAACTATTCATTGTTGGTTCCACTGTTTCGCTTGCTGGCGTTACTGCTTTTCGTTTCCAGTAACACTCCCGCGTTTCACCCCCGTTGTCTGAATTTAATTTTTTTTTTTGTTCCTCTTTCCCTTAGTTTTTCTGTACATACCATATTCCTCTTCCATTCTGAAGTTCTCCTCTCGAAAAACTCGGATCACACTCAGAAAATAATACTCGAATCGAGCTTTTCTGCCGCACATAAACTGCCGGTCGAGAATCTGCTATCCAGGGACTTGCACAAAATACCTCAAAAAATATTTCGTAAAAAATAAGAAAATATATATATCAAGTGCAGGGCAAAATTGTAACGGAGTTGTATACTAAATACTCAACTAACTCTGATAAGTATCCGAGCAACGGTGAGTGAAGGATACTAAAAATAAAATAAGTAATTGTTACTTCCAAGATACTCTCAAATCCAGGGAAAAAATAATCTAGCTTACCCGACAATTGCCAGTTTTGCACAAAAGTGCAAAACTGGAGACCATGGTATACGCGTATCCTCACACCCTTTCTTGTAGATACCCTGTGCATTCATCTGTGAACTTTCCTGCTTCGGGAACTGGGTAGCTCCCGAAAACCAAATCAAAATAACTGCAAAACAATACGCCACAATTAATATATATATATATATATATATATATATATATATATATATATATATATATATATATATATATATATTTGTACGTTTAAGTACAGGCTACATAGAAGGCGTTGCCGCCCGTACAGATAGGTGGCCAAAAGCTGACTCCAGGTAAAGTCCTGGAGCACCACAGGACAATGCATCGGCCCCCTTTGCGAACGTGGCACTCAACTTCGAAGACGCTTCCATGAAATTGATCACCCGTCTGCTCTGTAATCCAGACCTCGCCCCGTGACACTTCTTTATGTTCTCCACGCTGAGAGAAAGATGCTACAGCCCTCCCGAGTGCACAATATCCTGTGGAGCTTGGGAGGGAAATTTCATCGAACAGTGACGAGTGTCTCGCAAAGTTGCAAAAAGGATGGGTGGTTTGGATGATGTCGAAAGCTGAGCAGCTCAGCTGTCTCTTCTTTCCACGAAAAAAAAAAAAAAAAAAAAAAAAACAGGCGTTGAGAGCACAGGAATTGACAGATATGGCCTCTTTTTATCGTCAGTTGTGCATTGTAATGACTAAGCGCGTTGCCGTTAGCCAGAAAGAGCCTAGGTGGGGCCTGCTGGGGTGGCTGGCTGGCCGCTTGAAGGAAATAACCGTTTCCCGTCGAGCGAGCAAGCGAAGGCAAAAAAAGCGGCGAGGCTGCGCAACGTTCGGCCCCGGCCTGAAAAG